CTACAGCAAGTAGTCGGGACCAAAAAGTAAGTTCGTTATGTCTGTCAGTTCGTTATAATAAGCGTGTTCGTTATAACCGTAGTTTACTGTATGTGGAATAGAACTGGCTAGACTTGCTTTTGAATAATCTAGATTGCTTTGGGTTTCATAAAGTACATATTTTTAACAGTCATGGTTCAGGACTACCAGAGAGCACTTGTAAATAGCTAGTGGTTAGTCGAGGGTCAAACAATGACAATAACAACAACTAAAATGTGGGAAAGGTTTGTTTAAACACACTATTAACAACACCGACGGTCGAGGATACTACAGGTCGCGTCGTGTAAAAGTGTCATCAACCACACCCAGGAGTGAGTGAATGAGTGAGTTGGGTTTAACGCCGCTTTTAACAGTATTCCAGTTATATCGCGCCGTGTCAGCTTAATGTGGGAGGAAAGCCCGAAGTGATGCAGGTCTCAGACGTTTAGCACTTCGGTGAAACTCACGAGCACGGGCATGGTGCTGACAAACCTCGAAACATACAGTGCGTACAGCTGTACAGTTAAATCACCCACCTTACAGCCGATACTTAGCCCCCAGTGACTTTTTCCTGTTCCGGCAAATTAAATCTGCCCTACGTGGAAGACGCTTCCAGGATGACGAGGACATAAAGGCTGCCACAGAGGCGTGGTTAGGGGGCCAATCTGCTGATTTCTATAAAAGTGGTATAAATGGAATAAGTGTATTGAGGTGAATGGAGATTATGTTGAAAAATAAAAGTGCAAAAGATATTCTGCGACTTGGTCTTATATTGAAGTTGCAAAACTTATTGAACGCCCCTCGTATATGAAGTTTGGGTTTATAGACGAGGCACTGTTCAAAAGATATATTCTCAAGTCCGAATAACGATTTTTAGAAAATGGACTTCATCTTCAATATTGTGAGCATTTCAGTTTTTCAGTTTTTTTTACATAAGCGATTAGAAAAAGGTGTTTTGGGCTTTGAGAAACGACAGAGTACAGTAAGAGGTAGTGTGCCACGCGTATACTTAAACTGAATACTGCACTGAGACGTCAGTAATATTACAAACATAATGTGCGAAGCACTCAAAGAGGACTAAAAAAGCTATATGTCCTTAATTTATTACCACCAATTAACTCCCTGACATCTCCTTATCTATACCACCAGGTCTGTTTCAAACCCTGTGTGTAAATCATTAACAGTATCTGGCAGTAGTTCATTTAAAAGTTTTACATCTATACGGCCCAAAGATTTGTTAAAGTCAGATGACAAATTTTGTATAACGTCAGTTTACCTGTTTTCTTCAGCAAAACAGAGCATTTTCTAATTCCAAAAACGGACAATTTCAATTCTTTGTTTTGTTACACTAGATAACCAACCTATTTCACATCTTACTGCCAAATTGTGAGTTTTATTACCCAAAATGAACTCCCAAAAAGAAACGAGAGGCTCTGTTCTGTACAGCATTAATGCAGCTAAATTCTTTGTGCCCCAGATTGCCGAACCATATGATAAAACCTGGTTGGGCCAATTATTATATAGAATGTTAATAACTTAATAATTCGATTTAGCGATTTCCTTTGCCGCGTAACTCAAATCTTTATTTTCCTGTTACCAAAGGCCGAGATATTTATAGGAATGTAGCAGTTCTATTTGTTCATCCCCAGATGTAAAATAAAACGATGACGGTACTGCGGAGGGATTACGGTAAAGAACAATCTGAGTTTTTTGGTTGTTGATTTAAAGGCCATTTCTTACATCAATTTGCGACACAGTTTAGCATTCATTTGAGTGACATTTCGTTGGGTGCTAAAAGAGGTGTTGTCAATATTAGTAGATGTTAGTAGTACTTTCTTCGTTGTCATTTATTATTGGTAAATTGATGTTGAAGTGAGACAGCATACTGATGAAAACACTCCGGTGAATCAGTTCATAACATCTTATCAAAACATTCGCGAGACAGTAGGAACGTCGCTGACACTGTTTGGTGTTTTAGCTTTACTCACAATCATTTCCCGGAAAACAAGTCAATATGAGAATTTAGAAATGCAGCTTTCAATATGGCATACAAAAAGGATCTACATTTATGAGCAAATTCGATTGTGACCGGGACACTATGGGACCACTAATATATTGACTTTAACAGAAGGGGGCGGTCGGGTAGCCTAGTGGTTAAAGCGTTCGCTCGTCACGCCGAAGACCCGGGTTTCGATTCCCGAAATGGGTGTAATGTGTCGCCGTGATATTGCTGGAATATTGCTAAACGCCTCTTAAAACCATACTCACTCACTTAACAGAGAAGCGTTTGCACACGTGTTTTGTGAGCCGTTTGTGATGGGGACCTCAGGAAGTCATGACGTAGTCAGTCCCAAATCATGCTCTGGGTTATGCAGGCATGTTAGGTCACATATAGACATGTGCGGGAGGACATTGTTGGTGTTGCGTCAAAAATTACAATATCAATAAGCGAATCTATTCAGTATGTACCCCATTAAGAAAACTGAGCTGAAAAACGACACGGAGAGCCAAGGGTACAGCTCCCCGAATTTCCGAATGTCAGCTCTAAAAGTAACAAAAATTTACGAGAAAGTTTTCGATTCGAATCGATTGTACAATATTGACTACATCACGAGCATGTGTTTATGACTCACTATCAAATAGCGAGTAAGTGAGTATGGTTTTATGCCGCTTTTAGCAATATTACGGCGGGGGACACCACAAATGGTCTTCACACATTGCACCTATGTGGGGAATCGAACCCGGGTCTTCGGCGTGACGAGCAAACGCTTTAATCACGAGGCTACCTATACCGCCCCCTATCAAATAGTGATTATATCAGGTGTTCGCGAAAAAGTGAGCGTATCTTGCCCCACTGGTCGCACCGTCACAAACACATGCACATCCAAGTAACTGTTAATTGTTCACCTGAACAAACAGACAGGGGAACATATGTGACAAGTCAAAATAGGGAATTACATCGTGCATTATATTTTTGCCCTGATTCGTAACATTTGGAAACGTCCTCCAGACGTCTACGATAAAACGTTTTGAAAGTTTTGCTGAGGCCTTGAATGTTGATCAAATACCTTTTGAATGATCTTTGGAAGAACATGCTCGTTTGTACCTCAAGAGTTGGGGGCTGAATATTTGTTATTAAGGGGAAGTTGACTATTGGAAGATTGAAATCATGTGTCGTGTTGTTTTTAATATATCATGAATAGCAATGCAGAAAGCAGCTGTTGTTGAAACACTGTCTTTGTTGATATTTTAAACTACACATTTAGATGAGCTTAAGTCCCGTGCCAAATCCATTTGCCACCCTGATGCCCTCAGCAGTGAACTGGGCCATCTCAAGGAACCTTCACTTCCCTCAACAGCTATCCTGCCCACCTAGTCTCCAAAACCGTCCGCAGGACCCTCAAGAACTCCGACCCCAGGCCCAAAACAGCTCCATCGCCCATCAGAATCACCATACCCTACCAAGGCCCTGTCACTCATCAGATTTCCCGCCACATCAAGAACAAAACCAACATCTCTCAATCTCTCAATCCATAATAAATTACCTAAATACGCACAACCTAGATAATTTATTATTAAGTAATTAAGCCATCTCTAGCGGCAAGTCAATCAAGATCCATCTACAAGCCAATGGCAGAGGCACAAGCAGCGCAAGTCCCAACCCCCGAGGATGTATATACCAGATACCCTGCAACTGTGGCCACCAGTACATTGGAGAAACCCTTAGACCCCTCGCCAAAAGACTCAAAGAACCTCTGTTAACAAACTCGATCTGAAATCCGCTATTTCCGAGCAAATCCTGAAGAACGAAAATCATAGCATCATGTGGGAAGCCACCAAAGTCCTGTCCACCAACAACAACTGGCGACAAAGGAAACTACAAGAAGCCAATGACATCGGGAGACACCAGCCAGCCATGAACCATGACCAGGGAACATATCTGTGCTTCAGACTTGTAACTTGTTGCTTTGATCTTTGTCGGGGCTAATTACCTAGCTGGCTTCAATTTGCCCCTTGCTATGTCCATTCTTTCACCTATCAGTGTATCACTTCTAAATCCCTTTCAAATAAACATGTCAAACACACCTTTCAAAGACCTTCATAGGTTACCTTCGATAGAATCCCAGTCGGGGAAGTTTTCATAAAAATATTCTATCCCTCGCCCAAACAAAGTGTTTTTTTCTGGCACATGGTTTGGTGTAGGCGTTTCCCTTACAATGTTCACCATTTACTGATTGCTGATTGATTGTTTCATGCTTACTTCCGCACTCGCGAATATTCCATCTAAACGACGGCAGTTTGAAAATTATCCAGTCTCGACCAAATAATTAGGCAAAAGACATCATGAGCACGATCAACGCAACTTGGGATTCTATGACATGCAATCATCCAAGTGATCAAACCTGACCATCTGATCGATTTAGTCACCTCATACGACAAGAATAGGTTTCTGGGGTCCATTATTCTTACCCAGAATACCAGAAATACTCACGAATTATTCCATCTTTAAAATTTAGAAATGTAGAGTTAATGTTGCGATGCTATATACAAGCACGGACTTGTGTCCATGATACAAGTGATGATATTGTTACCACCTGGGCGTATGGCGGTCATTGTGCAAACATAACACAGGGGACATTAGTATGAAGTAGTCTGTAAAGTACTGAAAGATATTTAAAATAGAGTAAGAATATTGTATTAACACAAATTCATTAATGAGAAAAAAAAAGGATACAATAAACAAATACAGTGCAGGTGGCAAGCTCCTCACAGCGATATCCCGTTCGCGGAGCTCTCTATTACTACCGCGAGTGTAACGAAGGTGTCACGCGCTGGGAAGGAGCTTGTGCAGGCGGCAAGCAAGGGAAATAACTCTAAAGCCTTTGCCTACAGTTATACTACTTCCGGTACATGTGACATGTAAACAAGAGGTGTGTTTGACATGTATATTTTTCATTGTCGACATTTACTTGTGCTGAGGTAAATTGTTAGGGTATGGCTGACAGTGGACTCACAATACTGAACGTGAAACAGTTTATTCTAGAGCCACATGTGTAAGCGCAGCCCTGCATTTTCAACATAATTCACTGTAAAACAATGTTCAATCAGCTGGGTCTACTTATGTTTTTTTTAGAAATAGGGATCAAATTCCGATTTGTTTTATCAACTGTACATGTATGTAGTCATAGAGGCTTTCCAGTAGAACGCGTAATCACTTATTCACATTATCCAGCGTCCGCATTCTGTCATAAAGTCTGAAAATATTGTCTCTCTGACGTCTAATTCAATACAGAGCAATACGCGATTTGGTTTATTTCTATACTACCGTGGTGGTAGATTAACGAAGCAATACCACGGGTATAAATATGGTCTAATTACACCAGTATCAATGAAACATTTAGCCTGAACAGTGCTGCAGGGGTTATATCTACGTCTGTTTTGAAGTTGTCATTAAAAGTGATGTGAACAGGTTTTGCAAATGAAGGAAACATGGTAGGAATATGACGTGTGTCAGTTGGTTTATACTTCCTTGACAATACATATATATGGTTGGAGAAAATATATTATTACACTATGTTTTGACCATGCTCATACTACTCTTATAAAGTTCTATATTTTAAATAGACAACATATATATTTGAACACTATATGTATATATGTAGTGACTGCATGGTCATTTACTATAGGAAGGGGGGGTCACGAAAAATTGTTACATGTAGTTTTATTTTGGGATGGGAGAGGAAGAGGTCAGCCAAATATGATACAGCCTAAGACCAAATCCCCCATGCCTCCTAATAAATTACTAGTCCCTAGGAGCATTAAGTGACCAGAGTATCATATAATCTGGATCAAGAAAAAATGAGTAATGATAAAATTGAAATACTTATTGCATCATCAGGATATTTGATACAATCTCATTCAAATCAAATCTTTTGCATCTGTAAGATACCTCTCTCCATGAAGATCTGAGGATATGGCCATAGAAGATTGTTTTAGGTAAACACTGGGTTAGCTTTGACCTCCCAATCCAAATGAAGGATGCCTGAGTCCTTGAGCCAATCAGGTGTAAGCTTTCTAAACTGATTCAGCTTCATTTCTATACCACCTTGATGCAGAAATTTCAATCCTATCACAAGAAAACCACCACAGAACACAAACATACCCTCAACAATACATGCACCCTTTTGATCACTCGTCCCAGGAATTTAGTACCTCAGTGGTGATTAGCCGATTAGAAAGATGCCATGACATGACCTTTGGACGTATCCTCAGATTAAGGCTGGGACGGGTAACTTGGGTACAAGGGTCGGGTGGGTACTGAGTAGGATTCATGTACCCACAAGACTACCCGGACCCGTGGTTAGTCACGTGATAGTGTTTAATGACAAAATTATCTAGAATTCCATGGTTACTCAACAAGTCTCGAATCTTCACATTTCTTTCTGACTATGCACACATTCCTGTCGACTTACATGTGCTTGAATAAAGATAAAGCTTCAGTCAACTTCAGTGTATGCATGACCAGATTGTTTAATTTATATGTTTACATCTAAATACAATTTTCCAGGGTTACAGTTGACTATTCCCAATCGAACAGTTTGTACCTATCTCTTGAGACCTACAGCGGGTACCCGGTAGGGTCAAGTAATAGGGGGCTAGGTACCTGGTAGTAAATTTGGATTCTTCCCAGCCCAACCCATGATCTTCATGCAGAGAGGAATTGTATCAGTGTAAAAGATCTGATTTTATGGAGATTGCGTTTTATGTAGAAATATTTATCCAGTATAATTACTTGAAAGAAAGTAAGACGAGTTCTATGGATGAACAACTTCTTTATTACAATTGGTGCGTTTCGGTGTAGATCCTAACACCTTTATCAAGCAAGTGATGGATAGGGCTAAACAACATATGTTAGGATCTACACCGAAACGTCGCACCAATTGTAATAAAGAAGTTGTTCATCCATAGAACTCGTCTTACTTTATCACTCCAACTTCTAAATGCCACTCAAAGAAGTTACTTGAAAGAAGTTTTTTTTTAATTCCTTATGCAAAATCCATGGCCATGGCCCTTCATGTTCAGATGTTTTTTGAAAGTTAGTTCATCTGTGTTTTCAGTTTCAATGAGCTGGTGAACCAAGACAGACCTAGGATGGGATAGATTCGAAGATGAATATGCAAGAACAGCGTTTGAGTGGAAGATAAGTCATGTAGTTGAGGAGAAAGACCACTTGGCTGCAGCACCTATACAAGTTGTATCCGGCACAATGCAGCACTCATTGTTTGAGCTGGCCCGGCTGCTGTCACTGAGTCAGGAGACACGCGGCAGCGTCAAGTCCAAGACCTCCATCACACAGTATGCCTGGAAGGAGGAAGGCGAGGTCAACATGCTGGCACTGGCTTGCTCAAATGGTATGTAGAATGTAGAACTGGACCAAGCAGTCTTAGAGCTTGTCTGTGGCCTATGTAAAGTATGGGAGTAACCATTGTCTTAGAGCTTAAGGCATTTTGTGTAATGGGGGCCCAGATTACAATTAAATCAGACTGTCCTGTGTTGGATTGTCCAATGTTTTCAGAGGTAATTTTATACAAATTTCAACAAAGAAATCCCCATCTATGATTAATTTTATGCTTTACGTCTGGTTTATATTTTATATTTTGTTGTCACAGTGGCCATACTGGGACCTGTTTTTATGTCTGGGACCTGTTTTTATGTCTGGGACCTGTTTTTATGTCTGGGACTTGTTTTCATGGCCCTGGGAACATCCGGGTTAGAATAGGATTTTACCAACCCATGCTTACTGTAAAAGGCGACTGTGTTTGTCGTAAGAGGTTACGGACAGGATCGGGGGGTCAGACTCGCTGACTTGCATGTCATCCTACCCCAATTGCGTGGATCGATGCTCATGATATCAATCACTGGTCTAGATTTGATTACCTTCAGATCCATATTATTTGTATATATATGGTTTAAGTATTTGCTGATGATTTCAGATCAGATTGTGTTGCGGTACAGCATTGCTGGAAAACCTCCACTTATTAAACAGTTGTCATGGATACCAAACAAGACGATTGTGGCGATGTGTTTTGACCCAACAGTGACCTGGCTTCTCATCTTGACCCATGAACCAGACATCTACCTGGTGCCAGCCTTCTCCCTCATGGTGAGTATCTGTCAGGGGCGCGGTGGGGTAGCCTAGTGGTTAAAGCCTTTGCCCATCACGTCGAAGACCATGTTCAATTCCCCAAATTGGTACAATGTGTGAAGCCCATTTCTGGTGTCCTCCGCGTTTTTGCTTGAATATTGCTAAAAGCGGTCTAAACCATACTCACTCAGCTGTCAGGAAACAAAAGGACTGTTTAACCTGACATAATCCATGCTCAAAATGAAACATGTTCTGTTGTTTAGGGCATTGTGAAAGTATTATGTGGGATTTTTTCAGGAACCCAAGGCACGAGTAAACCAGCTGTGGAACACAGACGACGTCACACACATCAAACTTCAGCAGCCTAAGGGTAATCAACGCAGTCATTTGTCTCCTATATTCATAATCATATCACACATACAAAGTATTATGCCTTTTTGTGATCTTTTTTGTCTGAACGGAGGAATAGGGACACTACATTAACCGTTCTGAAGCATTGTTTACAAACAATAACCCCCGGGCTTACACAGCTCTGCTCACCTTATTCTGCCAGGGAAGTTTCTGCTCCAGTGACCACACCGCAGGTGTAGCCTTATCACATGACCAGACTTTTCTCTTGTTTGTAAACAAACACACTTATTGTGAAACATAAGATAGCTACACGATAAATCGCAAATAACAATAACGAACAAAGTGTTGTTTATATCACGATAAAACATTGTTCTATCATGACGTCATTTCTGGAGATTCTAACATGAGCTCGCAACTGGATGACGTTATATATTGGAAGACGTTATATATGAGAGGGGAGTGTCTAGTGAGTTGTTCCCCATAGATGTAGCTGGGCAATGCAGATAAACACAATGGATCGAACGATCGCTTCCAAAAGCGGGAGAGATATGATAATCGGTGTTGTGAGAAAAGGTACAGGTAATTGACGTGAGGATATGTTGGAATACCCACCTGTGCATAAAATGGACTTGTCCGACAGTGCAAAGGTCAGATTCGATTGAGGGAGTCATCATTATTAAAATACCGTTAGATATTTATAAAGTTTCTACATTTCATCATCATCATCCTAAAGAGACTGTACACCTTATTAATGTCTCATATGAGAAATAAACAGCTCATAGTCGTTGTTTATCGTACAATAAAACACTGCAGGGAGAATAACCATGAGGCGCTGTGCACGGCCACAAGTTGTTTGTTTCTTAAATAACAACAAGCCTTTCGATACGCTTTACATATTGTTTTGCATAATTATATAGATGTGCTGCGACAACTGTGACAGTGAGATGCATGGCAGTATAGCTTTACACCTCAAAGTGACCTACGGGGCTAAGAATTAGTTTTGACTTGTATAGGATAGTCTAGCTTGATGCACACCTCATCTATGAGTTAAAACTCCACTCTCACAGAGGTTAAACACTTCAGTGTTGGGAGACACTCCCCATGGGTTGGACATCACCACTGACCACTGCCCAAGAACAGGTTACTACTCTCACAGAGGTTAAACACTTCAGTGTAGGGAGACACTCCCCATGGGTTGGACATCACCACTGACCACTGCCCAAGTACAGGTTACTACTCTCACAGAGGTTAAACACTTCAGTGTAGGGAGACACTCCCCATGGGTTGGACATCACCACTGACCACTGCCCAAGTACAGGTTACTACTCTCACAAGACCGTGAATGTTCATTGACGTTATGGATATATACATGAGATAGTGTCACATAAAATTTTGATTTTAGTAATTCATAGAAATGATTAGGAGAGAGAAATACCAGGACCTGCATTATGACAAGTGTTTTTCTTGAGAAATGTCTTGAATACATTGATATATGTGCAGATGATTTCTCTCCCAACATTTGTAGGGTGATGGGTAGCTAAGTGGTTAAAGCGTTTGCTCGTCATGCTGAAGGTCTAGGTTTGATTCCACACATGGGTACAGTGTGTGACGTCTGTTTATGGTGTCCTCCATCATTACACTGTGGGAACCGTACTGTGTCAGTCACACCCTACACTGGACATACAACACATTCTCAAATCATCAGGTCCGGCAGTGACTAACAAAGGGTGGGAAACATATTAAAATCATGATATTTGGAAACTGAAAAGGTCTATTAACACCTGCCACAAACTGTAAATGTTTTATGACCATGTCGACTGTATGATGATGTTGATGATCTATTGGAGTTATGTCTATTGACATTGTAGGCCTGTAGATGATATGTGCCAAATAAGTATTTAGTTTGTCCCTGAATTCCATAGCAATTATTGAATCTAACTAACTCTGTCATTCAGAATATGTGTTACTCCTGATGTCTTAAATAACATGATAAATACAGACACTATATCCCCTACAATATGCTCAGGCAACATGTGCTAAGGTCTTCAGACTTGGCCGTGAAAAACAAAAGGTGTAAAAAGAAATTAAAATCATGACGTTGGACATGGCAAAATATCAATAACATAAATTAGAAAGTGTGTTTTAGAATCCCTGTAGACCTCGCCTAGTTCGTCACTCATCCAGTGTGTTCTACAGGTGATGTGTGTGTGGTGAGCTGGTGGCACACTTTAGACGACCAACAGGTTGCTGTCATTGGAACTAAGGTATGTGTTTCTCCTGTACTAGAGACAGGGTTCTGTTTGACAAAGTGATGTTTGCACTACAATAAACGTTAGTTTAACACAGCCAGTGAGTGAGTGGTTGACCACCGCTTCAAGTGTCTGTCAGGGAAATCAGGGCATGTCAGCTTGATGTGGGAAGACAGCCGAGGATGCTATAGGTCTTAGGTGTTTACCACTTTAGTGAGGTGAGGTGAAATGGGGTTTAATGTCATGTTGAAGATTATTGCGCATATATAGCGATGTGTGTGTGTGGGTGTGCGTGGGTGGGTGGGTGGCTGGCTGCTTGTACTAGTCAAGACTAATGGGTTTCTGGCTGCTTGTAATAGTCTGTACTGATAGCGATTTATAGTGCTAGCCCACTGAGATTCCATGCCGCAGTTTAATATAAATACCCCCCTCAGACACAGTATACTGACTCCAAGAAGACCACTTCTTGTTTTCGCCCTTTAATGCCGAGCGCCAGACAGGGTAACAACAAGTACCATCTTTTAACGTCTTTTGGTATGACGTGGCCGGGGATCAAACCCTGGACCTTTCGCTCTCGAGGCGGATGCTCTACCATTAGACCACGGAGGCCGTCCTCCTAGTAGGTAGTGCTTTCAGATGTGTAGTGGATGGGTTTGTGTGTCATTATGCCCTCCCAAGATGGAGGAATGCTAATGCTATTGACCACTGGGCAGCCATTTCTGCCAGTGTGATGTCGAAGCATGTGCATGAGCTTTTTTATTAATCAGTTGCTTTACAGATGATTTTGCTATACATACATTTTAATTGTGGCATGTTTGTAATCACATTGGTGATTTAGTTTTCACATGGGAACAAAGTCATACCCTGCCAGTTCCAGTGTAGTGAATATGAACACACAATGATATTTACAAAGTGGTCAAATGTAACAAATGTTATATTTGGGATAACACTTTCTGAGTAAAGTACAGATTCTCGTTCTTTTTTATGAATGGTCTACTTGTGGCCCATAATGCTTGGAGCAAACGTTTACGGCTTATGGAGCATGTTTGGCTCAGTCAGGGCAACAATTTGCGTTTTGTTTTCCATAAATGTGAATATCAGGTACAGTGGTAATTAATACTCGTGTTTGAGTTTGTATTTCCACATTCCTTATATTTAGGGTCAGTAGGGCAGTTAGCATATTGATATGTTTTATGTTTAAGGATGTATTATTTCATTTCATGTTCAGGCTGGAGAGATTATTTTTGTGGATTTGTTGAGGAAAAAGACTGTGGCTTCTACCCACGTTGAAACAGCCATCTTGAAACTGGACCTAGTGATGGATGATCAACAGATGACGACATCTCTGCTGGTAACTATGGAGGCTGTCTTTGTAGGATAGCTCACCTGCTTACATTATACACTAGTGCAGTATCCATTGTCTACCTCTGGCCGTATGTTTTGTTTCTACCTGATATGTCATGGAATGTACCTGATTTGTTGTGTGAGCCATCTTATGAAAGCAGGTCCGTTCTGATGACCAATCAGATCAGTCGATACAAGCAAGGTGAATTGGTCACATGAACAGTTTAAAACTGATGTGAGTGAGTGAGTTGGGTTTAACACCGCTTTGAACAGTATTACAGTTATATCGCGGCGTGTCAGCTTAATGTGGGAGGAAAGCCCGAAGTGATGCAGGTCTCAGACATTTACCACTTTGGTGAAACCCACGAGCATGGGTATGGTGCAGACGAATCTAGAAACATAATCGGGGGGAACCGGGATTCAAACCCACAATCATAGGTTTCTGGCATGTCCAAGGGACGCAACTCAGCGTATGAGTGTTGTGTGTATGTCTGTATGGAGCAGGTCCCATGGAGATGGCTGATGAGTGTTGTGTGGATGTCTGTATGGAGCAGGTCCCATGGAGAAGGCTGATGAGTGTTGTGTGGATGTCTGTATGGAGCAGGTCCCATGGAGATGGCTGATGAGTGTTGTGTGGATGTCTGTATGGAGCAGGTCCCATGGAGAAGGCTGATGAGTGTTGTATGTTGATGTCTGTAGGGAGCAGGTCCCATGGAGATGGCTGATGAGTGTTGTGTGGATGTCTGTATGGTGCAGGTCCCATGGAGATGGCTGATGAGTGTTGTGTGGATGTCTGTTTGGGGCAGGTCCCATGGAGAAGGCTGATGAGTTGTATGTTGATGTCTGTAGGGAGCAGGTCCCATGGAGATGGCTAATGAGTGTTGTGTGGATGTCTGTATGGTGCAGGTCCCATGGAGATGGCTGATGAGTGTTGTGTGTGGATGTCTGTATGGAGCAGGTCCCATGGAGAAGGCTGATGAGTGTTGTATGTTGATGTCTGTAGGGAGCAGGTCCCATGGAGATGGCTGATGAGTGTTGTGTGGATGTCTGTATGGTGCAGGTCCCATGGAGATGGCTGATGAGTGTTGTGTGTGGATGTCTGTATTGAGCAGGTCCCATGGAGATGGCTGATGAGTGTTGTGTGTGGATGTCTGTATGGAGCAGGTCCCATGGAGATGGCTGATGAGTGTTGTGTGTGGATGTCTGTATGGAGCAGGTCCCATGGAGATGGCTGATGAGTGTTGTGTGGATGTCTGTATGGGGCAGGTCCCATGGAGATGGCTGATGAGTGTTGTGTGGATGTCTGTATGGAGCAGGTCCCATGGAGATGGCTGATGAGTGTTGTGTGGATGTCTGCATGGAGCAGGTCCCATGGAGATGGCTGATGAGTGTTGTGTGTGGATGTCTGTATGGAGCAGGTCCCATGGAGATGGCTGATGAGTGTTGTGTGTGGATGTCTGTATGGAGCAGGTCCCATGGAGATGGCTGATGAGTGTTGTGTCTTCCAGATCACGGCGAATGGGAACAACCAGTGGAACCTGCTTCTGGAGAGTCGCTCCATCGACAGGATGTTTGCCGATCTGAGTTTTGACGGGACTGAGACATCCCCAGACCCTGTCAACAACATACTGGTACAGACAGGTCGGTACTGTCAGTGACTCAACTGAACTCAAGTTTATTCTAAAAAACCCAGTGTGGTACAAGAGAAAAGTTATAAATTTCAGCAAAATAATTAAATATCAAGCAAGATGGCAGCAATATTTCATGAATACAAGCATATACAAATAGAATACTGGTAATGCACATTTGTATATCACACACATGTCGTTGAATGATCCTTCAAACATGACAGTGAGTGAGTTGGGTTTAACGCCACTTTTAACAATATTCCAGTTTTATCACGGCATGCCAGCTTAATGTGGGAGGAAAGCCCGAAGTGATGCAGGTCTCAGACGTTTACCACTTTGGTGAAACCCACGAGCACGGGGTTTGCTGACAAACCTAGAAACATAATCAGGGCGAACTGTGATTTGAACCCACAATCATAGGTTTCTGGCGTGCCCATGGGACACAACTCTGCACAGCGAATCGCGGCGCCTTGAAGACTGGGCCACCTGTGCCCCCTCACACATGATAATGCACCCACATGATCATTTACAATGTATAACAATATATCATAAGAAAAATAAATATAGTGTACATGGGAACACGTGTACAGCAGTTCATATACTATAAAGGTTTGCAAGGGTATAAATAAATTAGTTATTTATTTCATATTTGGAAATTTTGTGAGCTTCTATAATATCTGTGACGTTTAGTGATGTTGGAATAATGTGTGTATTTATCAGCTATGAGAGAGGTTCTATAGTCATTAAATGTTTCACATCTAAATATTGTGTTATTCACAACATATGGAGATTATTACAAGCACAATAGCTTTAAATATACGAGATGTGAGATCTACACTTGATGTGCAAACAACTGAATGATTTGCATTTTTATTCCTTTCTCAATGATGGCAATCATGCACGTGCACCTAAATGCAGGATTAAATGTGATGTCACTGTGCACACTGTGGAGCATTGATGATTCAGCATTACACCACTGACAGCTAATTTGCATATCACGTGACCAGACTTTTCTCTTGTTTGTAAACGTGCGCTTATTCTGAAATCAGAGCAGCTGGTCTGAAGAAAGCCTTTTAGGGCATTTAATAGATTGCTTTACATGATTATATAGATACTGTAAGTTTGGAAGGAGGAAAGTACTGCGAAAACTGAGGGAAACACACTCTATGTTATAACCTCATGTTATACATCCACGTTATAACTTCTTGTTATACATCCATGTTATAACCTCATGTTATACATCCATGTTATAACCTCATGTTATACATCCATGTTATAACTGCTTGTTATACATCCATGTTATAACATCATGTTATACATCCATGTTATAACATCATGTTATACATCCATGTTATAACCTCTTGTTATACATCCATGTTATAACCTCTTGTTATACATCCATGTTATAACTTATTGTTATACATCCATGTTATAACCTCTTGTTATACATCCATGTTATAACCTCATGTTATATGTCCATGTTATAACTTATTGTTATGCATCCATGTTATAACCCCATGTTATACATCCCATGTTATAACCTCATGTTATTCATCCCTTGTTATAACCCCATATTATGCTCCCATGTTATAACATCATGCTATGCATCCATGTTATGACCTCATTTTATACATCCCATGTTATAACCTCATGTTATACATCTATGTTATATCCTCATTTTATACATTTCAGATGAGAACAGAGAAAAGTTTCTTCCCCTACGCTACGAGCAATTCCAGCGCTCCGTCATTCTCTGTCCGCAGAATGCCCGAGGCCGGCACTTCATCACAGCTCATGAAGACAAGACATCCACATTCCAGGTAGACCGAGATCTTACAGAATGTACACGTAGCTCACCTGGTCGTCAGATCTAGGAGATCATAACATCCTGCACATCAGGCCAGTCGGCCATGTTGGGAGGAAGCCATTTTGATAAATTGTTTTGATTCCCAAATAGTCCTGATGTGCCTAAATTGACATGACAACACCTTCTCCATCCCTGGCGTATGATACAGGGACTGCTTCTAAAGGCAGCTCCAGGTTAGAGATGTAGACTAAATCTGCCCTCAGTTATTCTTATACGTAGACCCTCACAGATTATAGAGTCAATACAGCAAATGCAGCGCTTACCATTGGTGTTACCATGGTTACATTTGCTGTAATGATTTGCAGATTATCTAGGAAGTATTGGGTGTCTTCAAACCTGTGTTGACGTACACATGCTGAAGTTAATAACAATGCCACTGAAAATATTTTGTACAGTAAGTCTCTTACTTGTGGCATTTCTGGTTGTGAAATTAACTAAGACTATAATTGTCCTTGAATATATTTTCAATATGCAGAACTACAATCAAATAATAACCTTAGGGTCAGTAAGACTTTTAGTGTTGGTTGGTGTGAAACAAGAAAAAATATGTTCCTGTCTGTTGCATGAATGCCACTTGTGGTATATGGTACCGGTCACATATTGGGAGTTATCTCCCTTGGATACAAATGCTGCACGTTGGTCAGCCATTAAAGTTATTTGTCTGAAAGACACACGTCTATGTCTTGTGGATATACTACGTTGCATAGAGTACGTAACATTGTCCACAATTGTTTTTCTTCTGTTTTTCACCTTTGGTTGATGTCTCTGGTATTCTCCTGGCATACTAAAGTACTGTGACTGTTAATGGATGTCGAGTGACCTGAAATCTTATCCTAACCTGAATATCATCTTATGAAAGGAAAAAAATATTTTGAACGCAAATAAGTGTTGATTTCACGTTGATGCAAACATGAGTTCTGTCATGACAGTGTGAGTCTGACAGGAAATAATAGATGTATGAGTTCAATGCATGTTCTTGTCAGCACCATACCCTGACTTGTGGGGTTCACAAAAGTGGTAAACGTCTAGATCATCACTTGGAGCATTCCTCCCACATCAAGTTAGGTGCAAGGGCGGCCCAGTCGTCTAAGGTGCTGCAATTCGCTGTGCAGAGTTGCGTCCCTTGGGCACGCCAGAAACCTATGATTAGAATTCCGGTTTGCCCCGATTATGCTTCTAGGTTTGTCAGCACCATACCCGTGCTCGTGGGTTTCACCGAATTGGTAAATGTCTTTGACCTGCATCTTTTCGAGCTTTCCTCCGACTATAAGTTGAAATGCTCTGATATAACTGTAATACACTCTTACTGTCACTCAGACCGCCCCTGTGGTCTAGTGGTAGAGCGTCTGCTCACTCTGAACTCTGAACTCTGAACTCTGAACTCACACTCACTCACTTGCTCTGCCCAGGTCTATGACAGCCATGTAGAGCACTCACCCCTATTTGTGTACAAGCTGCCTATCGGAGCCTACAATGTCATCCTCACGGATCGCCTCATCTTCACCACATCACGGGTGAGCGGCAGGCGGCTGCTGATCATATCTAACCAACGGGCCGAAACTTCTCTGGAGGACCACCAGGTGAGTTACCTCCCTTGCTTGTGTTGGAAATATACACTTCAAGATGTCTGTAACAAAAATAAATATATATATTTCATCACTTTAATTAAATTTTAAGCTTGTTTGATTATTCTACACGATTATTATATTTTATAGATATGATGATAGTAATGTGTTATTTGACATATGTAAATAAGAAATGATATGGACATATTTGATAACATTCAGATGTATATTGCTAATTGCAGATGGGTATTGTGAAGGTAAAACATTGGTGGAATGTGATATTGGTTGTTAGCTCCCTTTGACAAATACAGGAAGTATCTAGTTTGCCAGGCTGATACTCAAATTAATTATAGTAATCATACCCTTGAAGTATGTCGATAGTGCACCCTTTTGGGTGTAGATGTCATATCACTCACAAACAGCAGGATGTGTACAAATCCACAGTAAAATTGCATGGCTTTATTCTTTTGCATTCAGAACTCCCTGATTATATATATTTTTGATAGAAAAAATATGTGATGGTCTTTATACGTCACTCACTCGTTCCTAAACCTTAAAAGTCAAGACGCTAATTGGCTGATTAGACATTTATCCTGAAGCAAAAGACTTGCATAGTGATCCCTGGCAGTTCTGTATTTGTCATTTTTGTTGTAAGAAAGTTGTTTTCTCGTGTTGGGATTCTGTGTGTAAAGGGATTACAAAGATGGAATTTGTGATGAACAGTTGATAATAAGTAAGAATGACTTGTTTCAGATGTGGACACGGCTGGGAAAACAGGTGGGGGGCATGGGTGGGGGCAAGGGTTGGGGGGCAAGGGCAAGGCCCAGTCATGTAGCAAATGATGTAAGGCACCACAATTTGCTGCCGTAAAAGGCGACTTTGCTTGTCGTAAAAGGCGACTAACGGGATCGGGTGGTCAGGCTCGCTGACTTGGTTGATGTATATCATCGATCCCAATTACGTCGATCGATGCTCATGATATCAATCACTGGACTTGATTATTTACAGACCGCCATCATAAAGCTGGTATACTGCTGAGTGTGGTGTTAAACAACAAACCAACCAACCAACTGTGCAGAGTTGCATTCCTTACACTTCCAAGAAACCTCTTTCTTGTTGGTTCAAATCCCTGTTTGCCCCGATTATGGTTCTAGGTTTGTCAGCACCATATCCATGCTAGTGGGTTTCACAAAAGTGGTAAACGTCTGAGACCTGCATCACTCTAGGCATTCCTCTTACATCAAGATTACATGTCATAACATAACTGAAATATTTTTTCGAAACCAACATCAAAACCGCAGTAACTCACTTCATTGGGGCAAATGACAAACTCTGCTGTGCCTGTGATTATGTGTCCAATCAAAATCACGTACCGAAAACAACGTCTGGTTCGGAAACTGCTGTGCAGCCGATTGCAGTAATTGCATGCATGTGCACTGTCAACTCGTTGTCAACAGATATTTTCCAAATCTTTTCATGTTTTTAATCAAGGTGCTCACATGATTTGATGCTCCTCGCAAAATAAGATCTGTTTTATCACAGTAGAGAATTTTATTATCAGTAACTGGGCAACACCATTTTGTTTGAAGCAAATGCAAGTGATATGAGAGGTTGAATCTGATTGGTCAGTTGGAGGGACATAGAAGGGACATAACTCGTAATAGCCACTGGTGATGCCACCATAGAGCCCAAAAATTTCAGCCTAGTTCGGCAAGGGTGAAAACTTGACTTTTAACAGTTAGTTAAGTCCCTTGCCTGTTATATGACAGGAATTACACTTAAAGGGAATGTGATCATGCTGTGAATTTTTCCCGGTTACATGATTTATTTTTCCTATTCTTCGTAATAAGTAGCAGTAGCAGATTTTGAGATTTGTTTGCATGTTTGTCTGCAATCATTGTGAGAAATAGCCTGTATTTCCTCATGTAGCGGTACTTCTTGTATGTAGTCTGTCACCAGCTCTGTGGTTTGTTGTTGAAATTGTTGTAAAATGTTTTTGAGACATTGAGTATTATCTCACAAATTATCATTCACACTGAGTATATTTTTTGTTTGTATTCAATATATTTTTATTGCCTTGGGACAGGTCTATTTGGTATTTTTGCACCTTTTAATAGACATTTTAAAATAAATCTGCTGAAAATGCTGGATCCAGTGACTTCTAATTTGTATCTATTTGTCTGCTGCCCCAAATGTGTAGCATGTCGCATGAACTCTCAACAGTGATAGGGGCACAGGTGGCACAGTCGTCTAAGGCGATGTGATTCGCTGTGCAGAGTTGCGTCCCTGGGGCACGACAGAAACCTATGATTGTGGGTTCGCCCCGATTATGTTTCTAGGTTTGTCAGCACCATACCCGTGCTCGTGGGTTTCACCGAAGGGTAAACATCTGAGACCTGCATCACTTCGGGCTTTCCTCCCACATTAAGCTGACATGCCGTGATATAACTGGAATACTGTTAAAAGCAGCATTAAACACAACTCACTCACTCACTAGTAAAGTTCTGAAAGGACTGGTAACATTTCCCTTCAGACTTGCATTTGTAGCATTAACATGTTCAGAAGATGGCAACTCTGTAGCAGATCATATTTTTGGATGGTTAAAATGTGATTTGTTTGTCACCTTGGTGATAAAAGCGGCGTTAAACCAACTCACTCACTCACTCACTCAACAGTGATATACGTGTATAACTAACAGTAAGGGAGACGTAAGCGCCTTGTCTAGGCATTATTCACGAAAGAGTTCATGTATGTGTGATACCTGAAGATAAAATCTGTTAGGAAGTACAGTTTAATGCAAGTTGAAAAGGATGCATTGGGTAATTACACCAAATGTTGCCGTACTATTGGGCTTTTGCAATTTTTGTGTGTGTATTTGTTCGCAAGCAACTCAAAATCTATTGGGTAATGGTGATTTATTTCATGTATTTTACGCAAATACACAGCTTGCCTGGGCCTACTTGCACAAAGCGATCTTAGCGCTAAGATGACCGTAACTCCCATACTTTAACATAGGCTTACAATAGTCTTAGCGCTAAGATTGCTTTGTGCAAGTGGGCCCTGGAGCTTTGTAGTTTTTATATTGTATACAGGGCGGTCGGGTAGCCTAGTGGTTAAAGCGTTCGCTCGTCACGCCAAAGCCCCGGGTTCGATTCCCGACATGGGTACAATGTGTGAAGCCCATTTCTGGGGTCCCCCGCCTTGATATTGCTGGAATATTGCTAAAAGCGGCGTAAAACCATACTCACTCACTATATTGTATACCTCAGGTATATGTCGAATATGAACGTCCTCAATTACTGCAGTTGAATTCATTACGTTTACTGCTTTGCTTTTCTTAATTGTTCACATTTCAAACTGCTGTTTCTGTGAAATTATAAATTGGGGATAATATGCAACATATAATATATTTTTACCTGCACTAACTAGCATGTCTCTGAGTATCATTTTCAGTAGAGTTTAGTGTTGTCACATGGGCTATGTCACTATGGAAAGCAAGCAGTTACAGTCATTCAAATGTTAACCACATACAGTGAAGCCTTGGCCCCGCTCCACAAAACAATCTTAGCGCGATGACTGTTTTAAGCGTATGTTATGGTATGGGAGTAACCAGCTGGTAAATGGGGATGTAGACTTTGTATACTTACTGAGATGTCACAATGATATACTCTTTGATGATCTTGACAGTCGCCAATTTGTCCTTTCGTTCATGGTCACTGAACTGAGCGGAAAATCCAGTGTTTTGGAATATTTTTTATGATGTATCATTATACTTCGAAATGGTTCACAGGAACTTATATTCGTGTTCTTTTTTACAGCTTAGAAAAACAAAATCAGTGGATCCATTAAATATTTAAACGAATTGGTCTGGTTTTATCACAGTTTTATGAATGTTGACAGAATATTAATCTCAGGGTCACGGTCAGAGTTAGGGTCAAGGTCACAGTCAGAGTTAGGGTCAGGTTCAGGGTCAGGTTGGTCGTGATAGTATCACAACATTATGGCTCTCTCTATTGTTAAGTATACATAAACTACTCAAAAGAAGTTTAGGACCACCCAATTATTTATTTACTGCTACAGTAAACTACGGTTATAACGAACACGCTTATAACGAACTGACGGATAAAACGAACTTACTTTTTTGTCCCGACTATTTGCTGTAGTTATGCTGTATATATGCATATAACAAACCACGGCTACAGAACTAAAATTAGTGGTCCCTTTGAGTTTGTTATAACCGTAGTTTACTGTATATTAGAAATAAAAGAATCGGGTGTCCTTAACGTCTTGAGTAGTATGTTTTTATTTGGCTGATGAATAACTAGCATGATAGTATACATAGGAAACACCTAATATTTAAGCCAACATAACTCTAATAGATAATTTGAATACCTGAAGCGGAGACAAAATGGGGATATTTTTTTTATGAGGCCACCAAATATCCTACATATTTTATTGGTATCTTATTTCACCCATGAAGATCCGGGTTGGAATAGGTCGCCAACAACCAATGCTTTTCGTAAGAGGTGGCTATGCTTGTCTAAGAGGGGACTAACAAGATCAGGGGGTCAGACTTGGTGACTTGGTTGATCCGTGTCATCGTATCCGAATTGCATTGATCGATGCTCATGATATCAGTCACTGAATTGTCTGGTCCAGATGTGATTGTTTCCAGACCTCCATCATATAGCTTGAATACTGCTTATACTGTGTTAATAGTAAAACTATTGCAGATGTTGTTAGCACTAACAGGGACAAGTATTACTGTAATATTTTGAACTTTTGTAGGATTTCAATAAAGAATCCATAGTTCAGCAATTTGACCTGCCACAAGACGAGACCTTGCTAGGGGTTCAGAAGAAGTGTTTCCCGTTTTATTGGCACGAGAAACGCGAGGAGGAAAGACTTCGATCAGTGCAAGAAGGGGAATACATGGAACAGCCAACAAGTATTCCCACAAACATTCAAGCTATTCCAGTCACCTCCCACACCGTTTTAGATGGATGCATTGTCATAACAAACCGAGCAATTTATGAATGTCGACCCAGGTTAGTGTTGGCAGCACTCCCATGTGTCTGTTGTAGCCTGTGTATCAGCAGTATAAAGCCGGTTAAACTTTAGTGTAACATCAGTGTAACATCATTGTAACATCAGTGTAACAAGAATAAAGTAAAGCCAGTTTAAGAATGGTGCATGGTGTTAAACCATTGTAAAGCCAGTTTAACTTAGGTGTAACATCACTGTAACATCAGTGTTACATCAGTGTAACAAGAATAATGTAAAACCAGTGTAAGAATGGTACATGGTGTTAAACCATTGCAAAGCCAGTTTAACTTAGGTGTAACATCAGTGTTACATCAGTGTAACATCAGTGTAACATCAGTGTAACTTCAGTGTAACATTCACTAATGTAAAGCCAGAGTCACCTATGTTTAGCACCAGTGGAGACAAATACTACATATCAATACAATGTTCCCTTGTCAGGATCTCTCCCGAGCGTCTGTTCCTCGGCCTGGCAATACAGCACACGGACGCTGCGTATGCTGAGAGCCTCGGAATCAGCATTGGCCTTGACCTTACAGCTCTGTTTGAGGTGGCAGCAGATTACCTCCTCAGAGCAGGAGAGTTCTCCAGATCTGTTCGTCTTTACCAACTCTCCAAGGTCTTTATGCTCATTGAAAACTGGATAGTATCACCATGTTTCCTTGACATTTGCATGCTGTCAACAAATTTAGAGATTTCATTAGGCCAATTTAAATTAATTATTTTTTCACCCCTGTGGCACGTCACACACCCCAACTCACATCATTTTGTTGTCACCATTGACCTACGGACGGAGAGAATTGCTGTGTGTGTTCCCTTCCCATGTGAGATATTGTTGACAATAACAATAAAACTTCATGGTTATACAACAACTTGCTAATGTTCGCATTCCTTCTTTTATATGTTTGAATAAAGATAAAGCTTCAGTCATGTTCAGTGGAGGCTATACATGATCAGATCGTTTTATAAAAGTGTTTAGGGTCGGTCGGGTAGCCTAGTGGTTAAAGCGCTCACTCGTTAGCCGAAGACCCGGGTTCGATTCCCGACATGGGTACAGTGTGTGAAGCCCATTTCTGGTGTCCCCTGCCATGATATTGCTGGAATACTGCTAAAAGTGGCTTAAGACCATACTCACTCACTATAACTGTGTTGAAATAGGATTTGCCAGGGCTCCGATAAAACAATACCCAATTGCACATTTTACCCGACTCTTGACTCTCTGGAGACCAACAGCAGTGGACTCGTTCAGCCCTAATATCTCTCTTTTAACAGTGTTCTCACGTGAAGCGAGTCGGGAACCTAGCCCGCCATGGTCGTCTACAGGAAGTGACATCAGTGCTGCGTCAAGTCCTGAACAACCACCAGGTGGAGCTGAGCATGATGGAGAGGAAGCAGCTGGCAGACATGGCGCTCCACTGCTGTGTGTACTTCCTGTCCCACGATGCTGACCGATCTTCAGGGATGGACGAGACATTCAAGGAGTTCCTGTTTGGGAGCTTCTCTTTTGACGAGATGAAAGCTCTCCACCTTCTGTCAGACTTCTCTCTGCATGAACTACTGCTGGAGTTTGCCAAGGTGAAGGTCAAAATTACAGACAGTGATATCTGAATGATATGACTATTGTAAACTGTTATATGTACTTTTCCGCCAACATGCCCACGATTGCTCTTATAGAACCTTCCAAAATAAGTTGTTTTTCCATTTACCATACAGACCTTTCTCAAGAAACTAAACCTTTGTTCTTGTTATTCTCAAGTTGCATCACACATTTTCTGTATTTTATGCCTCGGGCATAAATGTGTTGCTCTTCACTATAGTTAAACCATTCTCTTCAATATGATAACACCCGTGATGATCTAGGTTAGAATAGGTCTTCAGCAACCCACGCTGGCCGTAAAAGGTGACTATGCTTGTCATAAGAAGCGACTAATGGGATCGGATGGTCAGGCTCGTTGACTTGGTTGATGCATTTCATCGTATCCCAATAACGTAATTCGATGCTCATGATGTCAATCACTGGATTGTCTGGTCCAGACTCGATTATTTACAGACCACCGTCATGTAGCTGGAATATTGCCGAGTGTGGCATTAAACAAACAAACAAATCAATATGATAACAAATAACGGGCATTTGAACATGTTGAAGCAAGATTACAAACTGCAAGTAGCCTTTTCACAGATAAAGAAATTATGACATTAATAATTATATTCTACCTGCCCTATTTTGGGAGGGCTGATTTATTATGGACATATTATTTTCTCTTAAATTATGCTCAACCGTGTGTCCTCCATGATGGACAAATCCGAAATATCAGACGGATTATCTCTGTTGATCCTGCATATGTTTTTGATTTTGATGTTACGTAGAGTTAGGATTTCTTTTGTCATTGTTGATTGTGGTCAATATGCCTGTTCATGTAAAATTCATACATGTCATAGAACTATCCCCATGTTGCAGGCACGTGGTCTGGTGGTGGAGGCGCTGGAGCTACTGTCGTCGCGGAGTCAGTTCAACGTCCCCACCCACCTCCTCTCCGATCTCGTTACCCGGGGATTCAGTGCTCATCTACTGCAGGCTGGACAAGGTGATGACGCCATCTTCAGTAGTGTACGGTGCAGGTTCTGTTAATAGAATATGGGCCAGAATCAACCTCATTACTATTAGATCTTTTACTATGATACAATACCTCTCTGCATTAAGATTTGAAGACATCTCAACAATGAGATTTGCCCAGAATTGAACATTTTAAGATCTGTCTGTATTTATTACTTGCCCATGAAGAGATCACCTGTTTAATAAACATACAGCTGTATTGAACATTGTGTCATTCCAAAGCGCGTGCTTATGTACTGGGGGAACAAGTTTCACTAACAAATATTGAAAACTCCCAACATCCCAGGCTTTTTCAAAGACATTGTGTGTGGAGATGATGAGATGATAGATCAATGATAGGCACACTCGATGACCCCAGCAACCCTGTTGCTAGGCTGATGTCACATTGCATTGTTTCACCGGTGGATCTTGCAACAAAACTTTGTGATGCAGGGTCCCGTTCCACAAGGTGATTGTAGCGCAACAACAGTTGTAAGTCTATTTTAAAATATGCGAGACACAATAACCTTAGTGCTGCAATAGCTTTGTGGAATGGCCCCTTGAATTCTAAAGGAAGTCTGTTGTATGGTATTAAATCAATACGTGTATACTTTTAACATATTTGTAGTATCGTTCTGTTAAACTCAATTGGATTATGATGTGGATCATGTAGATGTCTGCCTATTCACAGACAACAAATATTTAGAAAAACTTATAAACGACAAGTAATAAATAAAATACTAACCTTGGGAGCTGATGTCATCGCATGTTTGTCCATCTTCTATCGTCACTCATCCATATTTAACATCTTCTTCTCAGAAACCACAGGACCAATGAAGCTGAAAGCTCACATACCTCTCCCTATCAATGACACCCCATTCAATGGTTCAATGGTCATATTGAAAGCCTATTTTGGGCCATTTATTCAAAATGTAATGAAATTTTGTACATGTGTAGTTAGTAAGAGGACAAAATACATATGTTGTAGTCTGTTTTCAGTCGTACAAATGGGTATCTCATACCTCTAGTCGCACGTTAAAAGGAAGCCAGAAGCTGGAATGTAAACAATAAACTTGTTTCCGTCCGGTTGCGCACGCACCTCTCTATGACATGCCACAAATCTCTCAGCGCGCCTCTGAGCTGGTCGCTCGAGAAGGACTTTCGCGATAGACTGCTAGTTTGTATTCTACTAGTACTTATCGTGTGTCTACAGTTGTTGTTCTAATACAGTAATAATAATATGTCTTACCTGTAGACTCCTGGAATGTAATCCTTGGTAATCCATTGTTTGTGTTCAACACGTGTTTCACTGTTTGACTTGATTATACACGTGGCAACATGTCGGGCTTTTCTGTCTCGTGTCAAAGTATACTGTCTAAAGTAGATCCTCACAAGTATTGTCCTTCCTGCATAATTAAGGACGGATTTTCAACGTGTTCGTGGGATAAACTTTGTAAAGCATGTGATCACTTTAATAAACTTTAATTGGTATCTTTGTGCGTTGGCGAAGCGGGCTACTGACCAGCGCTACAAGCAGAGTAGGTCATGGGGTGGATCCCTGGACTCTGCAGCCTCTACATCTGGCCCTGGGGGTGGCGCGTCGGCCACACCCAAGGAATCAGTTAATAACGACCCGCCCCAGTCAACTTATGTTTTCGACAAGACGTAACCGTTCGCCTGCTGATGATATTACCCGCACGACTGATCTTCGTCAATCGGTTGATCGAGAGCATCACTCAGCCACCCCCGTTACGACGGGACTGGCTCGTGACGAGGACCATGAGAGGACTACGGTCCCCAGTTGGTCCGTCTCTCGTCCTACCAACGACGATAGGTTGACAGTGAACATGGATCCCACTCTACAAGTCGTTCCCGCCCCGGGACGACAGGTCGAGTGCCTCGTCGAGAGACAGTAAACGACACCAGGACGTTCGTCGCCTTCGAGGTCGTCGGGAGTTGATTCGGACGATAACTACGATGGGGATCGTAGTACTTCTACAGTTAGAGATCGTAGCCCTCGTTCCCACGGGGACGTGCGAAGGGAGTTTTTAGGAGATCACTGTCGTAGAGATAATGGTCGATCGTCACCCTCGTCTCACTTTCATATCGACCCGGCTTTGATAGCCCAGATCACGACGGCGGTACTCGCCTCGACGGCGTCGACCAAGAAGGATTGGACTACGTCGGAGGTCCATGGACCATTGACCAGTACACCAGTACCTTCATCTACATCTACACAATCGACGTCGACGATGGATTGTGACGACAGCCTGGCTATGGCTTGTTATCAAAAGATGATGACAAACCGACTTGTGCTGGCTTTAAGGTTCGAGATACGCCGCAGTCTCTTCAGTCTTTTCCTCCCGATGTCTTCAGAGCCATGGCTCACGATATGGACCAGAACCTGCCTCTGCTCTGCCGGGGCAGAGTTTCAGCAAACCACATGTTTGATCGCGTTACCCGATCTATGGCATGCATTTTCGTCACCCATGAGTAGGGACTTGGATTAGGGGCTACTCTTCAAGAAACCAGCGCCCTCCAAGATTCTTGTAGTAGACAGGCATTGGGGATCCATGGACACTGCTGTTCGTCACCAGCTACAACCGCTTGCTATGCTGTCGACAGCGAGCCAGCAGGGGAGGTAGTGAGGTCCCTCCCCCCCCCCCCCGTCACCGTTGTCGGAGTCTACTACCTTTAAACGAGCTACCGGTAGGGGGAAGACTTCATCACACGAATCATGAAGACGGTCGTAGAATGGCTCCATCGGCAGGCGATCAGGTTCACCTTCTATCTGGACAAGCCGTCTCCTACGGGCGACAGGCTCACTAAAATACCGGAATTGCAGAAAATTCTACATGCCTTCATGGTTGAAGATGAGTCACATTAATTCCGACTGCCGGCCTGGGACCTCGATATCGTTCTGCGCTACATGTCTAGTTAGACTTACGAGCCTCTCGATCAGGTCGCCTTTGACATTGTCTCAGACAAGAAGTACTGCTCGTATTTTTTAGTTACCTTGTATACTGCGAGTTGCTCTGTAACTAAATTATGCCCCGACCACACCTCGATCGCAATTCAACTGACGTGTGCAGTTGTCTTGTCGCATCGATAATTAGTTGTGTGTCGAAGAGCATTAACCATGCTATTTTTCGTTACCTTGGATACGACGAGTCGTTCTGTAAGTACATTATAAGCCGAACACGCTTCGATCGCAATTCGGGGCGGTCGGGTAGCCAAGTGGTTTAAGCGTTGGCTCGTGACGCTGAAGACCCGTGTTCGATTCCCGACATGGGTACAATGTGTGAAGCCCATTTCTGGTGTCTCCCGCCGTGATATTGCTGGAATATTGCTAAAAGCGGCGTAAAACCATACTCACTCACTCGATCGCAATTCAACCGACGTGTGCAGTTGTCCTGTCGCATCGATACTTACTTGTGGGTCGAAGAGCATTTAACATGCTGTTTTAGTTACCTTGTATACTGCGAGTTGCTCTGTAACTAAACAATATGTTGACCACTTCGATCGCAGTTCAAATGACGTGTGCAGTTGTCCTGTCGCATCGATCCTTACTTGTGGGTCGAAGAGCATTAAACATGTTGTTTTCGTTACCTTGGATACGACGAGTCGTTCTGAAACTAAATTATATGCCGTCCACACTTCGATCGCAAATAAACTGTCGTGTGCAGTTGTCCTGTCGCATCGATAGTTACTTGTGGGTCGAAGAGCATTAAACATGCTGTTTTAGTTACCTTGTATACTGCGAATTGCTCTGTAACTAAACTATTCGTCGACCACACTTCGATCGCAGTTCAACTGACGCATGCAGTTGTCCTGTCGCATCGATAATTAGTTGTGTGTCGATGAGCATTAACCATGCTGTGCGTTCGTGATAAACAATTTGTCTCCTCCGTGCATCTGGTCGAATGTTCTATTGTCACTACAGGGGTGGGGAACTTGGTACATTCGACGTGAAAGAGGTCACTTCCTGATTACTTTCCCGACCCTCCTTCCAGTGTTCCGTCGAATTCTACCCATTTGTACGACTGAAAACAGACTAAAACATGGGTTTTTCAGATAAAAAACGATGTTTTATTGGTCTGTTTTCAGTCGTATGTTCCCACCCAGCCATCCCCACTGGGAAGTAATCCAGTCCAGTCCTGCTTGATGGCTTATTCTTCGAGATTTGTGGCATGTCATAGGGAGGTGCGTGCGCAACCGGACGGAAACAAGTTTATTGTTTACATTCCAGCTTCTGGCTTCCTTTTAACGTGCGACTAGAGGTATGAGATACCCATTTGCACTGTAAACATCATCTACTCAGAAATCACATGCTTGATGCACCAGTGATGACACCCCAGTTTGTTCAAAAAGTTTGAATCCAATTTTCAATATGGCCACAGACAGCAACTGTTGTAAGGTAGCTATCTCTGTTGACATTTTTGACTGTTGTCTACATACCCAGGTAAGCTACAGTGCCACAACACATGACATGAATGTCTTCGCCACAGTATGGCTGAGATAAGGGTTTTTAACTTTAATGTCCTGCTCACACCTTGTGTTCCAGGGTCGCTGCTGCAGTGTATCAGTGCGGACGACCTCGTGCGCCTCCTCCTGACCAAGCCCCAGCTTGCCATACAGAACGTGGGTCTCATGGAGAACCAGCTGGGTCTGCTGGAAGAGGAGCTGCTGGTCTCACTGGCCGAGGTCTTCGACCCCTCCCGACCTGTGATGAGGGGCATCCTGAACAGACACCAGTACTCCAGGAGGAGGTAGGTACACATGTGTTACCATGGTTACTGGAGGTCTTCGACCCCTCCCGACCTGTGATGAGGGGCATCCTCAACAGACACCAATACTCCAGGAGGAGGTAGGTACACATGTGTTACCATGGTTACTGGAGGTGTTCCATCCCTCCCGACCTGTGATGAGGGGCATCCTCAACAGACACCAGTACTCCAGGAGGAGGTAGGTACACATGTGTTACCATGGTTACTGGAGGTGTTCCATCCCTCCCGACCTGTGATGAGGGGCATCCTCAACAGACACCAGTACTCCAGGAGGAGGTAGGTACACGTGTGTTACCATGGTTACTGGAGGTGTTCCACCGCTCCCGACATGTGATGAGGGGCATCCTCAACAGACACCAGTACTCCAGGAGGAGGTAGGTACACATGTGTTACCATGGTTACTGGAGGTGTTCCACCCATCCTGACCTTGATGAGGGCATCCTGAACAGACACCAGTACTCCAGGAGGAGGTACGTATACCTGTGTGTTACCATGGTTGCTAGAGGTCTTCGACCCCTCCCAACCTGTGATGAGGGGCATCCTCAACAGACACCAGTACTCCAGGAGGAGGTAGGTACACCTGCGTTAGTTACCATGGTTAGTGTCCATAACAACTGAATCTTTACCTATTTGTTTCTAGGACAACCAGCATCTCTTCCTTGACCTCCTTCACGAGTGATGTCCTTGACTTTTCAGGGGTAGGTCATCACAAAGTTATTTCAACAAATTAAGCCTGAAATTATTGGTTCAAAAGTGTAGGAAGTCTTAGATCCTCAAACAATTGTACCTCTACAGAATGTTTGGACGACTTCTGTATAGATTTATAAGAGATAACATCTATTGTGAACATCTGTAAGGTAATACCTTTTATGGAAATTGTTGTCCAGATCTAACAACCCTGAAAGCTTGTAGACAAGAAATAAAATCTGGAAAGCACTCAAAACATTATGTTATTCTGCTGATTGCAAACTTACATTTTTACAGAAAAAACATTTTACGTACAGTGTGTTAAACTATTAGACTGACAAGACTGGCTTCATTAACGCTATACAAATGGCAATATATTGAAATAACTTTCTCAAAACCTAATAAAGATCTGAACTTTTATTATCCCCGGCCCAACAAAGTTGGCGGGGGATATAGAAACGGGCTCCGTCTGTCCGTCTGTCACGTTTCGTTTCCGAAGCATAGCTCATAAACCGTTCAATATTTTTTCGTCAAACTTTGCAGGTCTGTCAGGTAAATGCTGAACTGGTGCCTAATGCTATTTAGAAATTTTAGAAATTTTTATTTTTTTTGTTTCCATGGCAACAAGATAGACTTACGGTAGGTTCTGTGAGGGTAGGGTTCATTTCCGGAGCATAACTTATAAACCGTTCAATATTTTTTCATCAAACCTTGCAGGTTTGTCAGGTATATGCTGAACTGGTGCCTTTTGCTATTTAGAAATTTTAGAAAAAAAAATTTTCCTACGTTTCCATGGCAACAAGATGGACTTAGGTTCCAAACTCTTCTTTTTTTAACAATTTCCATGACAAGTTCCACCTCAGTTAAAAAAGGTTAGGGTTTGATTAGATTTAATTATGTCATAAATTCTGCAACATTGGCAGGGGATATAGCCAAGTTAGTGGCAAACTCTTGTTTCATCTTATATTTTTCCTGACAATATTTTTCTGTGCAAAATCTAGCCATGAAGAAATAAAATTCAGTGCAACTTAATAATCTCCGTGTTGGCTGTGATGGTGCCTTGACTATTTCTGACGGATTACGTCTGTAGAAGACATCAGTAACTGTTGCTGCTCTCCTCCCACAGGACATGGGGACCTCCAACCTGTGTCACCTGATGGACTTCTTCATCTCCGTCGTCCTGCACCTCAACAAGAAGCGAGATGCTGACAGCGTGCAGCTGGACCTGGCAGACATGTTGGCAGACATCAACACTCAACTGGAGGAGCTGAGGGTGCGGCAGTGTGCAGTACTGGCATTTAGTTATAGCTGATGAATCTGGGAGTGAGTGAGTGAGTGAGAGTGTGAATGACCTGGCAGACATGTTGGCAGACATCAACACTCAACTGGAGGAGCTGAGGGTGCGGCAGTGTGCAGTACTGGCATTTAGTTATAGGGTATGAATCTGGGAGTGAGTGAGTGAGTGAGTGAGTGAGTGAGTGAGTGAGTGAGAGTGTGAATGACCTGGCAGACATGTTGGCAGACATCAACACTCAACTGGAGGAGCTGAGGGTGCGGCAGTGTGCAGTACTGGCATTTAGTTATAGGTTATGAATCTGGGAGTGAGTGAGTGAGTGAGTGAGTGAGAGTGTGAATGACCTGGCAGACATGTTGGCAGACATCAACACTCAACTGGAGGAGCTGAGGGTGCGGCAGTGTGCAGTACTGGCATTTAGTTATAGCTGATGAATCTGGGAGTGAGTGAGTGAGTGAATAAGTGTGGTTATGACTGCAAGTGAGAGAGAGTGTAAGTGAGTGTGAGAGAATGTGTGTAAGGGTGTGAGTGAGTGAGAGAGAGTGCAAGTGAGTGAGAGTGAGTGAATGAGAGAGTGTGACTTTACAGCAGTGAGTGTAAGAGTGTGAGTGAGTGAGTGAGAGTGGAAGTGAGTGTGAGTATGTGAGAGTGAGTGAGAGTGAGTGAGTGAGAGTGGAAGTGAGTGAGAGTGAGTGAGTGAGAGAGAGTGTGAGTGAGTGAGTGAGAGTGCAAGTGAGTGAGTGTGAGTGAGTGAGAGTGTGAGTGAGTGAGTGCGTGAGAGTGTGAGTGAGTGAGTGAGTGAGATAGTGTGAGTGAGAGAGTATGTGTTTATTGTTACGATTTCTGTCTTATCTATTTTAGAAAAAAATGATTGAACTTGTTTTTAAACATGTACAACTACTATGTATGAATGTTTTAATTTCACTTTGTGGCTATGTATTACTGTAATAGTTGTCAGTGATCGAAGAAATTAAACACTCTCTTGTCTTGTCCAATAAGTGTCAAACCATACAAGTAGATACTTATAGCTCAGTAACTTGATTTGCCACTTAACAAGAGTCAGCTGTATATTAAATTAATAAGTGCTTATGTATAATTATACGAAGATTTGATAAGTGGTTAAATAGTTCATATAAATTTCAAATTTTCTTTTTAACCATGTTAACCACTATCAATTATGAAGTCTTTGATGGGCATTTAGAAGATGGAAGAACATGAATACATGACACTTATTTTATAGATTATTATTTTATTCTTTTTGTAACATTTCAGAGCTACCTCTTGATCCTTCATTACCTAAAAAAATAAGTTGTTATCTTTAATAAAGTGCCTCGTATTCATCAGTTATGAACTCTGTCAATTAACCATTGCACCAGTACTGGTAACCAGTCAGTCATCAAATATAACAGATCACCAGCACAACTCTGCTGTGAACTGTAATGTTGGTTCCGTGGGGACATTTCCCATCACATCTGTCTGTGTAGGAGAAGAAACAACCCTTCGTGGAGATGTCTCGGAAGCTGGCCCTGCAGCCGAGCGTCATTGGCTGTGGCAGCCATCACACTGCCATCATCAGGAACAGCGACCTGTACGTCTGGGGGCTCACCAACAACGGCAGGTCAGCAGCATCAGTTGTTGTGTGTCTCAAACGTTGCTTGACGGGAGAGGTGACCATATTGGATAGGATGGTCATACTTGGTCCATGTGGATTCTGGGTTAGAATAGGTTCCTAAAAGCTTATGCCAGTCGTAAGATTATGTTTGTTTATTTGTTTGTTTATTTGTTTGTTTGTTTGTTGTTGAACGCTGCATTTGAGCTATATGACAGCCAATCTCATTAAAATCAGATCTTAGTTCTCACTATCACTAAACAAAGATCTGAGGACATCCCATTACGGGTCATGTCAGAATGACCTTTCATCCAACCAATCAGAGCGTCGCTTACCAGATCATGAAAGTGACAGTCAGAAAGTGTTTTATAATCATGCAACCACGAAATGTTTAACATGGTGTATTCTGAACGACAGTTTCAGGTTTTATGATTATATCCATACAATCTAGGCCATCTATAAGCCATTCCAGAATGTTCTTCTTATCAGTTTAAATTTTTTTAATCGAGAATACGTCAAAATATGTTTCGAAGCGTAGTCGCCTGTTTGAAACTAGTGTCGTAAAGCTCGAGAAAGCTGCCTTCTGATTGGCTAATGTCAATTTCTTGTCAGTCATTTCATTTGACGGTCAAAATTCGCGAAAGGTTGTTCTGAAGTGACCCTTAATGGGATGTCCTCAGATCTTTGTTTAGCGGTAGCTAAAACTAAGATCTGATTTTAATGAGATTGTATGACAGCTGTCTGTAAACAATCAAGCCTGGACCAGACAATCCAGTGATTGATGTCATTAGCATCGATCCACGCAATTTAGATACAATAACATGCATCAACCAAGTCAGGGAGCCTGACCCTGATACCATTAGTCGCCTCTTACGACAAGCATGGGTTGCTGAAGACCTTTTCTACCCTAGGTATTCACGGATCTGGTCGTAAGAGGTAGGGTGGATGAGGTAGTCAGTGACTTTGTTGTTTGTCATCGTACCCCAGCGGTGTGCATCAATGTTCACAATATCATTCACTGGATTGTGGATTGGACGTGATTATTTACAGGCTGCTGTCATATGGCTAAGATATTGCTGTGTATGGTGTTAAGCAACAAAGGGGCGGTCGGGTGGCCTAGTGGTTAAAGCATTCGCTCATCACGCCGAAGACACGGGTTCAATTCCCCTCATGGGTACAATGTGTGAAGCCTATTTCTGGTGTCCCTCCCCATGATATTGCTTGAATACTGCTAAAAGCAGCGTAAAACCATACTCACTCACTATAAGTGTGTTGAAACAGGATTTGCCAGGGCTCCAATGATCCCTGGACTATTGCTAAGAATGGCGAATATCCATTATCACTCACTGTTGAGCAACAAACAAACAAAACTAGTAACATGGTTAATTGTGTGTCCTCATAGCCCGATGGCATGGGACATTGCTCATGATATCAACCACAGGTTTGTCTGTCCCGGACTTATTTACCATCTGACTTGATATTGCTTGAATATGTGCAGTACAGTCGACAGGTGTACACAAACCATGTAGTGTCATGGTCCTTTAGTAAGGGGAGACTACTCTAGTATACATGCAGAGAGCACATGACTATGGCGGTTCACATGTGTTTGTTTGTTGACCCAGGTTGGGTCACGGTGACCTGGTGACGGAGAACAGCATCGCAGCGCCGGCCCGGGTGGAAACACTACACATGCTACAGATGCGGGTGCTGTCCGTGGCGTGTGGGGGGGAACACACGCTCGTCATCACACAGCAAGGGGTACATCTTTGATGCTTAATGTCCAGGACGATCATGACATTCTTTGTATAATTTCTATAGAGCTTCAGAATGTCAAATATACCAGTTGACTGTTATAATATTCAATGGCAGATGTAGGTCAGTTATATGTTGTGGGCTGGTGTACCTACAATACAAGAGTGTCGGTTTAGGATATTGATTAAGGCTGGGACGGGTAACTCGGGTACTCGGGTCAGGTGGGTACTGAGTATGACCCGAGTACCCACAAGACTACCAGGGTTAGTCACGTGATATACTGTTTAATGACACAAACAATAAAACTCCACGGTTACACTACAAGCAGCTTATGTTCACATTTCTTTCTGACCATGCAAGCATTCGTTCTGACTTTTATATGTATGTGCCATGATTCACTGTGCAGAGTTGCGGCCCTTGGGCAAGCAAGAAACCTATGATTATGGGTTTGAATCCCGGTTCGCCCTGATTATGTTTCTAGGTTTGTCAGTACCATACCCATTTGTGGGTTTCACCGAAATGGTAAACGTTTGAGACCCGCATACTTCGGGCTTTCCTCCCACATTAAGCTGACACGCCGTGATATAACTGGAATACTGTTAAAAGCGGCGTTAAACCCAACTCACTCCCTCACTATTTAAGTTCTGAAAGGACTGGTAACATTTCCTTCAGACTTGCATTTGTAGCATTAACATGTTCAGAAGATGGCAACTCTGTACCAAATCATATTTTTGAATGGTGAAAACATTAGTTTTTGGTAACCTTGGTGATGTGTGTTGCAGGTGTATGGGTGGGGACGGTCTCAGTACGGCCAGGTAGGGGTGGGGACACGACACCGCTACACCCGACCCATGCTGATCGAGTCCCTGCTGCCCGAGATGGTCGTCAGCATTGAGTGTGGACAGTACCACAGTCTGGCTCTCACGGAGAACAGCGAGTAAGTCGTGACACACGTGTGAGTGAAAATTTGGTTTGACACTGCAAAGCATTGTGCTGTAGTTTCACTGTAGAAATATCACTTAATCTCACCCGAGCAACATCTCCTGTGGAAGCCAGTCTTGGATGATATACAGTAGAACAAGGATGTAACGAACTACAAGGGACCAGATATATCAGTTCGTTATATCCGTTGTTCGTTATACACATTTTCACTCAGAAACGTCCGCCATCTTGGATATGACAAAACACAATACACGTAACTGCAGCATTGATTTGTTTTAGCAGTGATCATTCAATTGATAACAATTTATAACATTCATTTAATAACATTAAATTCATAACATTTTCCGAAGATTGTTATCAAATACATGTACAAAATGTCAAGTCAGTCGAGTCACAGGATTCAAGAATGGATTCTCTCTTCTTCATAATGGTACTTAATGTTGATTTTGGAATGTCAAAGTCCATACACGTATATTCGCTATACACGTCACTAATTAGTGATAGATGGGCTTGTCGGTGATCAGATATCAGTTTGCTGTATCCGTTAGTTCGCTGTAGAGAAGTCGTTATATACATAAATTTTATATGATATGATATAGGAGATAAATCGGGGATTTTTTAACAGTTTGTTGTATCCGTTTGTTCGCTATATCCGTGTTCGTTATATTCCTGTTCTACTGTTGTTATATCACAGCTTGTCAGCCATGTTGTAGGCAAACCCAGAGTGATGGTGTCCTTGACATTTATCATCCAAAACTGGCTCCCACAGGAGATATCGCTTGGATGAGATCAAGCGATATCTACACTGCAGATATCGCTGCAATGAACTTACATCACAATGCTTTGCAGACCATTGTGACGTCATGGTAACCAGTCAAATGACGTCACTAATGGCTCTGCTACTGAAGCTGTTAGCAGTACTTTTTACACACAAGACACTGGTAATTACTGTCTACAAACTGAAAAAGTTGGAAGTATGATGTTGGATGATAAATAAAATTTCACCCTCGTATCTTTTGACATCAAATATATCAACACTTGTTGATAAAAGTGGCAAAAATCCTCGGCAAGCCTTGGAATTTTTACACTTGTATCAACTCGTGTTGATATATTTGATATCAAAAGACACTCGGGTGAGATTCTCTATTTACCACCTTGGTGGGACCCAGGATGTCCTATGCTTCTGACAAAACATGAAAATTATCAGCGAGAATCCGTCATTTGAATCCATGATCCTGGCACACCTAGGGGACACAACTTGTGGTACTTTAGACGACTGCTTCCAACACTATTGACTTCATTGATGGGCCCTCTTCTAATGGGAACACTGTTGCTGCTATTACTTTTGGGTCCATGAATGAAGTAAATTTAGTCAACGATTAACAGTGTACAGATATTTATTTAATCTTCTTGGGGTGTATGGTTGGACTGATGATATCTCCAAATCGAACAAACATGGACAGTTCTGAATGCAAATAATAAAGGTTGAGCTATTATATTGTTGAGAATATTTTAACTCCCCTGTCATTTCTGACCATCATGGCATCTACACACACTAGTGAGGGTATATAAGGGTTATGTGTGGTTTGATTTCTGTTAAGATCAAAAGATTGTGTCAGACCTTCCTGCAAGAGGTATCGTCAGAGAATAAAAGATTTTGAAAAGATGTTGATGAAGTTCTACATTAGACTGACATTGTTGTGTGTTCTATCCAGTGTGTACAGCTGGGGCTGGGGGGTCCATGGCCAGCTCGGGCACTGTGACCCGGAGGACCAGCTCAGCCCCACCCTGGTGAAGAGCCTGAGGGGCAAGGACGTGGTGAGGATTGCGGCAGGGTACTGCCACAGTCTGGTGCTCAATGACAAGGTGAGGCGGCAGTGGACCGCTCTGTGTGTGTGTGTGTGTGTGTGTGTGTGTCTGTGTGTGTCTGTCTGTCTGTGTCTGTGTCTGTGTCTGTCTGTGTCTGTGTGTTGCTCAGTGACAAGGCGGCAGTGGACGTTAGGGTGTGTGTCTGTGTGTCTGCCTGTGTGTGTATCAGTGGGTGTGTCTATGCCTGTCCTTCTGTCTGTCTGTCCATCCGTCTGTCTGTCTGTCTATTTATGTTTGTATGTCAGGGTGAGGCAGCAGTGGACATCAGTTTGTGTGTGTTACAACTGAACCTTATGTCATGTCTGTAATAACACACTGTTCAATACACACTGACCCACTGACTAAGGTAATAAAAATGTGGTGCAGTGAGTACTCGTATGTTGAATGGAATGGTGCATTTATACATGGACTTATTACTGGAGGCAATACATTGTTGTTGCAGGGTGCTGTGTACTCGTTTGGGTGTGGTTACTTTGGCCAGCTGGGCCAGGGGGACAACAGCAAGAAGTCCTGCCCCACCCGGATCTCGCTCCTGCCAGAACCCGTCTCCATCATCGCCACCAAATACTTCCATTCCGTGAGATGCTAGTTATGATCTGAAGTTTTGTTGACAGATAATATCTTGTCAGAAAATGTAATCAATACCAGTTATATACTACTCAAAAGAAGTTAAGGACCACCTGATTGATTCGTATTATTATAGTTAATCTGTCATGCCATGAGAGATTAACTATAGTAACATGAAAGAGTTGGGTGATTAACAACCAGTGGGAGTTGTTTATCGTTAAAAAAAACACTGCAGGGAGAATTAACCATGAGGGGTGCAGAGACCACGAGTTGTTTATTTCTTATATGCGATATCAACATTTTGTACAGCCCCTTTACGGATATTCATAAAATGTCCAAGCTTTAAAAGTATTTACCATTTTTGACGTAATAAGCGCCCATGGCAACATTTGCTAAGATATTGTCCAGTGAACAATCCCAATTAGCACCCCTTCCGATTGATCAATGTACACAGGACATTTATTTGCGTATAGTGAGTGAGTGAGTGAGTTGGGTTTAACACCGCTTTTAACAGTATTCCAGTTATATCACGGCGTGTCAGCTTAATGTGGGAGGCAAGCCCGAAGTGATGCAGGTCTCAGATGTTTACCTATTCGGTGAAACCAACCAGCACGGGTATGGTGCTGACAAACCTAGAAAAATAATCGGGGCGAACCGGTTATTTGCGTATAATACGCACTCGTGTGCCATATGCACCCTTTATTATGGGCAATTAAATTCTGAAAAAATATATCTGTCATACATAAACATTTCAGGCTGTCACCTTAAACCACGAAATTTATCTTTCAACCTTGTTTTTTTTCTTCACCAAAATAATATTCTAATAAGAGCCCCCTATTACTAATTTTGAGAGCACCCTGGGCGCTTATTACGTCGAATACGGTACCCACATTTTAATAATTATGACTCTCTGAATAGAATCTGACCTCGGAAATGTCGGACAAGTTCATTTAACGAACAGGCGGGTTAAGTTTGGTACGGGTATTTCCTGCATCCTGTTCATGAGAATACCACAAAGTTGCGGTAAAGCTGTGGTAGATGTGGTAAAGTGCAGTTTTCAGAAATACCATACTTTTACAGCATCTGCCTTTGGCGTAAATGTGCTGCTTTTTTCACTGTGACCTTTTTCGCGTGATTATCTCTACCTTTTCCCCAATACCGATGGTCATATCTCTCCCACTTTTGGATGTGATTGTTCGGCCACTGTGTTTATCTGCATAGCCAAGCTACATCTATGGGGAACAACTGACTTGTCACTTCCCCCTAAAAAATAACATTGTCCAACACATGATGTCATCAAGTTGCAAACGCATATTTGAATCTCCAGAAATGACATGATAGTTTTATTGGGAAATAAACCACTATTCGTCCTTCATAGTTCTTTGCAATTTATCACATTGCTATCTTGTGTGAATATATATAAACCTAACAAATGATAAAGTTTGATAAGTACCCTTTGGGTCACAGATTGTGCATGAGTTAAGAAATAATTATTATTACCTTCAGTAATTTTTATGAAAGTCCATATGAAACGTGTGAAGGAATTTGATCTTGTTCATTAAAACATTTTCATGTTTTGGACTTCTGTCAAGAAGGCTGATTTCTAATATTTGATCATGAACAAGTCTTCAGTTTTCTTAGGAGATGCAGACAGTACAAACATGTGGTAAAACATGTACCTTGTTTACAGAATTGCTCATAGTTAGATTTTCTTTGATCAGGTTAAAAATTCTCTCTCACCACTTATACTTGTCATTGGAGTCAGCTGAGAGTATTCACGATGTGTCATCGTACCGAGACAGAGTGGGGCCATGCTCAAGCATTCTGACACTCTTTGTTTGACAAGGTTGTTTACAGGCAGCTGGGATACAGCTGGAATACGGCTGGGATACAGCTGGAATACTGCTGTGATACGGCTGTGATACAGCTGGAATACTGCTGGAATACTGCTGTGATACGGCTGGAATACTGCTGTGATGGGGCTGGAATACTGCTGTGATACGGCTGGAATACTGCTGTGATACGGCTGGAATACTGCTGTGATGGGGCTGGAATACTGCTGTGATACGGCTGGAATACTGCTGTGATACAGCTGGAATACGGCTGTGATACGGCTGGAATACTGCTGTGATATGGCTGGAATACTGCTGTGATGGGGCTGGAATACTGCTGTGATACGGCTGGAATACGGCTGTGATACAGCAGGAATATGGCTGTGATACAGCGGGAATATGGCTGTGATACAGCTTGAATACGTCTGTGATACAGCAGGAATACTGCTGTGATAAAGCTGAAATATGGCTGCTAACAGTATCAGTAGTCCAACATTCATTTTATCGGGAGTTTGTGTATATGTAAGATTCCAAGATGTCCAATCATACTGAGTTGGACAGATCTGGTTTCATTTTCCTCTGTATTTGTCTTTTGATCAGAGCAAATGAAACTTGTATAATGTTTCACTAGCTCCTTGGAGTAAGGGTGAGGTAGGGTAGCCTAGTGGTTAAAGCAATTGCTCGTCATGCCGATTCCACACATGGGTACATTGTGTGAAGGACATTTCTGGTGTACCCTGCCATGATATTGTTGGAATATTGCTAAAACTGGCGTAACACCAAACTCACTCACTCTCCTTGGGGGAAGTGTAAAAATTGGCCAACATGTTTGTGTTTGTTTCATGTTGTGATCAGGTAATAATTTGAATCGACAGTGGGTCAGAAAGAATTAGATCACTCGATGTAGATAATTCAGTGGTAAGTATATTTGCAGATTGCCGTAACCAGTAGCAACCGTGTGTACTCCTGGGGATGTCATCCTCACAGCCTTCGGTACTCCGCGCAGCTTGTGCGTAGAGCCAGACAACTGGGCCAGCATCTTAGTGACCCTGTGGAGAGCTATCTAAGTCCCAGCGTTGTAGACTCAGCTTATGTCAATGGGAAGATTACACAGGTTTGTAGTCTGTCAAGTTTTAGCTCACCTGATTCAAATGACCAAGTAAGTTTATGTCCTGACCTATTTGTTTCTCATATGTAAATTTCAAGTGCATGTTTCCACCCCATTGATGACACCTGAATGTTTTCTGAAGTTTGATTGCATTTCCAATATGGATTAAATCAGCAGCCACATTACACAGCCTGTTAATGGCCATTATTGTGCCCTTTTTAAAAATTTGATTGGGTTCAAGTAAAGGTAACAAGTTCAGTTTAATATCCTGAGAATCAACTTTAGATGAACACCCAAACCTCATATGTAGTACAGTGGATGATGAACAGAGAGGTATCCTGTTATGTAGTACAGTGGATGATGAACTGAGAGGTATCCTGTTATGTAGTACAGTGGATGATGAACAGAGAGGTGTCCTGTTATGTAGTACAGTGGATGATGAACAGAGAGGTATCCTGTTATGTAGTACAGTGGATGATGGACTGAGAGGTATCCTGTTATGTATACAGTGGATGATGGACAGAGAGGTATCCTGTTATGTATACAGTGGATGATGAACTGAGAGGTATCCTGTTATGTAGTACAGTGGATGATGGACTGAGAGGTATCCTGTTATGTATACAGTGGATGATGGACAGAGAGGTATCCTGTTATGTAGTACAGTGGATGATGAACTGAGAGGTATCCTGTTATGTAGTACAGTGGATGATGGACTGAGAGGTATCCTGTTATGTAGTACAGTGGATGATGAACAGAGAGGTATCCTGTTATGTATACAGTGGATGATGGACAGAGAGGTATCCTGTTATGTAGTACAGTGGATGATGGACAGAGAGGTGTCCTGTTATGTAGTACAGTGGATGATGAACAGAGAGGTGTCTTGTTATGTAGTACAGTGGATGATGAACAGAGAGGTATCCTGTTATGTAGTACAGTGGATGATGAACTGAGAGGTGTCCTGTTATGTAGTACAGTGGATGATGAACAGAGAGGTGTCCTGTTATGTAGTACAGTGGATGATGAACAGAGAGGTATCCTGTTATGTAGTACAGTGGATGATGAACTGAGAGGTATCCTGTTATGTAGTACAGTGGATGATGGACAGAGAGGTATCCTGTTATGTAGTACAGTGGATGATGGACTGAGAGGTATCCTGTTATGTAGTACAGTGGATGATGGACAGAGAGGTGTCCTGTTATGTAGTACAGTGGATGATGAACAGAGAGGTATCCTGTTATGTAGTACAGTGGATGATGAACTGAGAGGTATCCTGTTATGTAGTACAGTGGATGATGGACAGACAGGTATCCTGTTATGTATACAGTGGATGATGAACAGAGAGGTATCCTGTTATGTATACAGTGGATGATGAACAGAGAGGTATCCTGTTATGTATACAGTGGATGATGAACAGAGAGGTATCCTGTTATGTAGTACAGTGGATGATGGACAGAGAGGTATCCTGTTATGTATACAGTGGATGATGGACAGAGAGGTATCCTGTTATGTATACAGTGGATGATGGACAGAGAGGTATCCTGTTATGTATACAGTGGATGATGGACAGAGAGGTATCCTGTTATGTAGTACAGTGGATGATGGACTGAGAGGTATCCTGTTATGTAGTACAGTGGATGATGGACAGAGAGGTATCCTGTTATGTAGTAGTACAGTGGATGATGAACAGAGAGGTATCCTGTTATGTATACAGTGGATGATGGACAGAGAGGTATCCTGTTATGTATACAGTGGATGATGAACAGAGAGGTATCCTGTTATGTATACAGTGGATGATGGACTGAGAGGTATCCTGTTATGTATACAGTGGATGATGGACAGAGAGGTATCCTGTTATGTAGTACAGTGGATGATGGACTGAGAGGTATCCTGTTATGTAGTACAGTGGATGATGGACAGAGAGGTATCCTGTTATGTAGTAGTACAGTGGATGATGAACAGAGAGGTATCCTGTTATGTATACAGTGGATGATGGACAGAGAGGTATCCTGTTATGTATACAGTGGATGATGGACAGAGAGGTATCCTGTTATGTAGTACAGTGGATGATGGACTGAGAGGTGTCCTGTTATGTAGTAGTACAGTGGATGATGAACAGAGAGGTATCCTGTTATGTATACAGTGGATGATGAACAGAGAGGTATCCTGTTATGTAGTACAGTGGGTGATGAACTGAGAGGTATCCTGTTATGTAGTACAGTGGATGATGATCTGAGAGGTATCCTGTTATGTAGTACAGTGGATGATGAACAGAGAGGGATACTGTTGAGTGTTTTGACTCTGGTTGTCTGCAGGTGACTTGTGGCAGCCTCCACACCATCCTCCAGACAAGCGAGGGGGAAATCTACGTGTTCGGAAGGAACATGGATGGACAGCTTGGCATCGGCAGCAAACAGGATGAGGTGAGTGCAGGGGTATGTTGTATTGCCAATGGGGCACAGTTCAGTATAGGTTCAAGCATTGGAGCACAGTTCAGTGTAGGTTCAAGCAATGGGGCACAGTTCAGTGTAGGTTCAAGCATTGGGGCACAGTTCAGTGTAGGTTCAAGCAATGGGGCACAGTTCAGTATAGGTTCAAGCAATGGGGCACAGTTCAGTATAGGTTCAAGCAATGGGGCACAGTTCAGTGTAGGTTCAAGCAATGGGGCACAGTTCAGTATAGGTTCAAGCAATAAGACACAGTTCTATATAGGTTCAAGCAATGGGGCACAGTTCAGTGTTGGTTCAAGCAATGGGGCACAGTTCAGTATAGGTTCAAGCAATGGGGCACAGTTCAGTCTAGGTTCAAGCAATGGGGCACAGTTCAGTGTAGGTTCAAGCAATGGGGCACAGTTCAGTGTAGTTTCAAGCAATTGGGCACAGTTTAGTGTAGGTTCAAGCAATGGGGCACAGTTCAGTATAGGTTCAAGCAATGGGGCACAGTTCTATATAGGTTCAAGCAATGGGACACATTTCAGTATAGGTTCAAGCAATGGGGCACAGTTCAGTATAGGTTCAAGCAATGGGGCACAGTTCAGTGTAGGTTCAAGCAATGCGACACAGTTCAGTATAGGTTCAAGCAATGGGGCACAGTTCAGTGTAGGTTCAAAACATGGGGCACAGTTCAGTATAGGTTCAAGCAATGGGGCACTGTTCAGTATAGGTTCAAGCAATGGGGCACAGTTCAGTGTAGGTTCAAGCAATAGGACACAGTTCAGTGTAGGTTCAAGCAATGGGGCAATTTTAATCATGCCATGCCAGATTAACTATAGTTATTTCAAAGAATCGGGTGTTCTTTAACTACTAAGAGGGGCTGTAACAATTCACCAACAATGTGATCTGTTAAATGCTAAATGCATGTCATGAGTTTATGTAAATATGTATATAAATAGCGAATTAGATTTGGTATGAAATTTAATTGTGAAGTACTTTTTCCTGATTGTATGCATAAGAGTTCTCAAGCAATATTGTCAGTTTGTTTGAGGACATTTGATTCATGCTATGCACATCACAGTGTATAATATCGGGGATCTAGTGTCATTCCTTCCTTCATCTAGCCATGAAGAAGGATGGTTAGAGATTGTATAAATGATTGTTGGACAGAGAGATCATGTTCTTGTGTCATTTTTTCAGAAAATTCCAAGAATGTTGACGAAGATTAACGACCACAATATTGTGTGTGTAAAGTCTGGGGGAGAGTTTAACATTGCCATGGATACGGAGAACACAGTGTGGGTCTGGGGGAAGAACGATACCGCCCAGGTAACTGTGGTGCTTGTTGATGAAATTTGTTCTACAGGCTTTATTGTATCCTCGATTATGAATAGTGCACACTGATCCATTAACCAGGGTGCTAACGTAAGGCTTTGAACATGCACAAGTGTATGGAAGCTCATAAATAGTGATTATTAGTCGAGATAGTTTCTGTATCATAGTTGTCGCTAAGAGCGTGCATACAAACTTTTGTCTTAACGTATGATATGTATAATATCTAAACAGACAAGGGTAATAATCTCTTTTTCATAGAATCTAATTCTTCAAATAATCCATGATTAAGATTTTTTTACTCAATGAAGTATCTTTGAAAACTGTGTATGAATACAATGTGTGAGTGAATTGCCCCATTATCATATAGTGCCAAATGACTTACAGCCACGTTTGTCTACAGAAAACCCATACATCGGGAATCCCCTATCTAAACTGATTCATAAGATCAGACAATGCTTAATTGATGAAGCAGACAATGCATCGATGTAAGAAGTTTAAAAGTAGTTCCTGCTAAGTGACCTTATTTGCATATTTATTGGATTGTGATACATAGTTGATCAGATTGGTTTTATGGCATCAATATGTTGCATCCATTATGATAAATGTTCATTATTCTTGTTATTTTATGTTCAGATAGAAAATAAGTAATAAACATTTGGATTTTCCTGTCAAAAAGCTTTGATGTTGTGACTGTTATGTTGACTGATGGTTACTGTGTGTTCAAGCTGGGCTACCATGTAATTGAGATACCCTCCCAGGCGCTCAGAGTGACTCGGTCCCGGCGACGCTCAACTCCCAGCAGTACCGACTTCCTCAGTCCCACAATCCTCAAAGGACTTCCTGCTCAGGACCCCACTGTCATGTCACCATGGCAACAGTCCTTCATGGCATCCTCAGAGAGTGGAGATTCCGAATATTGGGTAATCTTTTGTTTTGACCTCTTTTGTCGTAAGAGTATGTAATAGGCTATTAGGAAACATGGTTTGAATTTTTTTTCAGAATGTTTAATTTAAAAAAAAATTTAGTATTTAAATGTAATGTTATAAATCAAACATGTAATCACCATATGATGGTTTCACACAAGATACCATCGCTGTCTAGCCATATTTTGCACATTACCATGACAACCGTGCACTTGCTATCAATCAGTGGGTTTAACTTCAATGCAAGGTAATCAGGCTGTTTGCAGACACAAATTCATAACCAAAAATTGATTCATCGTCAGTATGATTAGTTGTATAATTGTACGTCATGTAGTCTCTGGCACAGCCTCCATCTTGTACTTGCCCCCTGAGAAGTAAACAATCTTATTATTTGAACCAAAAGATGAAATACCATATTTTCTTGTGTATAGTGCTCAGTAGACTATATTCGCTGTGCAGAGTTGCGTCCCTTGGGCACGCCAGAAACCTATGATTGTGGGTTCGAATCCCGGTTGGCCCCTATTATGATTTTGGTTTGTCAGCACCATACCCGGGCTCGTGGGTTTCACCGAAGTGGTAAAAGTCTGAGACCTGCATCACTTCGGGCTTTCTTCCCACATTAAGTTGACACGCCGTGATATAACTGGAATACTGTTAAAAGAGGCGTTAAACCCAACTCACTCACTCAGTAGACTTTAATTTGCACCCCTCATTCTTTGGTACAATGTTTGAGAAATATTTCTCTTTCATGTGGAGTGTGCAGTCAAAAACTACATTGTATCACTTCAGGTGAACGAACAGGAGCTTACAAAATTGTGAAATTTGAAATAGATTTCCAGTGTTATGCATGTTATGTGCTGACAGTAATGTGTTTGTGTTGGCAAAAATAATCAATGCTCATTGTTGGCGTGTATTATGTGCAACCCCATCTACACAGCACTGTGCACTATACACAAGAAAATAAGTTATATAAGAATTGTTGTCAAAGAGCATTACCAGTCATTTAGATTGTTCTTGACAGGTATTGTCACGTATGCAACCGGTCAATTATAACTGCTTTTTGCTTATGATGTGATGTGTTGTGTATATTGATTTTGAAGAGTTTGGGTGATAAAATGCAATGCAAAAGACGTTATTTCTATTAAAAAACATACAATCATGATAATGGTGATTACAATCAGGTTTTTAATTTAGACCCTACATATCCCAGATAGTCCTTTGCCTCAAGTTGGTGTTGACATCTGTGTGTAAGCATCCATACTTTCTTAGGCCAGGCATTTTATGTTTTTCGGATTACGGACCCGACGACTCTAATTTTTGAGAAAATTAAAAAAATAAAATCAGATTTCCATTTTTTTTCCTCGCCGATAGCAACGTAGTCAGTTATTTTATTTGTTATCATCACCTTTTAGTAAAAAATATATGAATTTACCGTTGTAAACTGGTAAAGAGATACATTGATCTTTGTTGATCTCAAAGCGGAACATGAATAGCCTCCCTTGACAATTGTCCGTGTTGTAAGTGGTAGAATATTTATTGTTACAAGGGGCTTTATCGTCACAAATGGCGGTCTTTTGAGCACAGAATATGTTCATAAAGTATGCCAGAGGCATTCTGCATTAAAAAAAAAGCATCTGGCTTTTTTTTTCCCTCCTCCAACCTTGAGTTTTGTCTGAAAAATCAGTAATCCTAACACTAAAAAAACCCTGGCCTTAATAATTATGTGTACTCTATAGGTTACTTGTTGGCTCCAGACTTCAGCTGATGCAAGACTGTGAAATGTGTTATTGTAATACAGAGGCTCAGTGACTTCACTTCCCCCACATGTCTGTTGTAGGTGACAGACGGCAAGGTGGAGGACCACCATCTGGCCATGATTCCAAGTCTGGAGAAGGTCGGCAAGGTCAGGTACTCGCGCAAGGTCATCCCGGTTGTGCTCAAGGTAACGTCCTGTGGAGTGATGGGCTTGTTTCCTGTCTAGTCCCATAAAACTGAAGACACCGAAAGGTGGTACTTGATTCATTAAAGGGATAAAACAAGGAATAGTCTGCTCGGAGTCAATACAATGTGTTTGTAAGAAATCAATGACCAAGACAGGTGTAGGACATCAGTGACACCTAATGTGTCTGACTCAACATGTGCTTGAGTACAAGGGAGATAACTCCAGGTGATTTTAGATTCCAATCAACTTGACATGCACAACATGGACCCTAGTTAAGTGAGTGAGTGAGTGAGTATGGTTTTACGCCACTTTTAGCAATATTCCAGCAATATCACGGCGGGGGACACCAGAAATGGGCTTCACACATTGTACCCATGTCGGGAATTGAACCCGGGTCTTCGGCGTGACGAGCGAATGCTTTAACCACTAGGCTACCCGACCGCCCCCTAGTTAAGTCAACCTGCATAAGCATTTTATGACAGTGTTTGATTTGGGTATCCATGTTAAAACTGCGGTATGACATCTCAAAAGGCCATCACTGTGTTACCGACATAAGTCCAGACTAGTACAAGCAGCTACACACACACATCTGAATTTCATGTCACTTTATGAGTGAAATAATCTTGAATGCAACGTTAAACCCCATTTCACCACACAACTCTTATCAAATTAGAGGAAGGTTTGTATGTAAGTGCTAGGACACTTCAGATAAAACTAGGGCTGCTTTCAAGTAACGTCACAGTCACATTGGCCGCTGCGTAAAAATGGTTCCTTCATAAAAGGGCCCTTGGCGATCCCAGGTTAGAATTGGTCCCCAGCAACCTATGCTGGTTGTAAATAGAAAAGGATCAAGGGGTCAGACCCAGGGACTTGAAAGTGTGTCTTCATACCCTGACAGTATCCTAAGTGGAAACGTGGCTAAACAAAGGTTTCCAGCTTCTAAAAAACAATTCACCCGAACACACCTAGCAATCACCATGGTCACGCTTTTCACCCTGATTGACCTACATGCGCTGAAGGTGTGATTTCCCCAGTCAACTGATTCTCTATTTAATCGCCATGGTGTGGTGAAGTGCTTACACCAAGGGAATCCATTTGGTTTTTTCTTTTTCCATTTTTTCCTCTTCAATTTTTCAAGTCTTTGTCATGGTTGTTTCTTTTTATCATGGACGAACAGTGAGACAGGATGAGTATTAAAAATATATAATTTAATGTAAAATTTACAATACTTTAACATAGACTTGCAACAGTGATACTGCTATGATTATTTTGTGACACAGGGCCCAGACTTGAGATATTGCATCATATAGCTGGAATATTGCTGAGTGTAGTGATAAGTCCTGATATAATGGTATGAAGTGCATCATTTCAACTCCAGGTTGGTGCATGATTTGGTTTAAGTCTAATCTACAGTTAACATAGTTTATTAGTTGTATTTATATGAAGCAAACCCAAGAGCTAACAGTGACATTTCCACTTATTTCAGTACCTGCCTCACCTGTGCCAGATCACCACTGCCTTGATACAGTGTGTCGACGCCGGGGACTGGTTGACTGCTGCCGACATACACCTGCTGTCCCATTGCCATAGTCAGGTCAGCCATGACACCTTTACACTGTACATAGTCAGGTCAGCCATGACACCTTTACACTGTCAATAGTCAGGTCAGCTATGACACCGATACACTGTCCAATTGCCATGGTCAGGTCAGCCATGACACCTATACACTGTCCATAGTCAGGTCAGCCATGACACCTATACACTGTACATGGTCAGGTCAGCCATGACACCTATACACTGTACATGGTCAGGTCAGCCATGACACCTATACACTGTACATGGTCAGGTCAGCCATGACACCTATACACTGTACATAGTCAGGTCAGCCATGACACCTATACACTGTACATAGTCAGGTCAGCCATGACACCTATACACTGTACATAGTCAGGTCAGCCATGACACCTATACACTGTACATAGTCAGGTCAGCCATGACACCTATACACTGTACATGGTCAGGTCAGCCATGACATCTATACACTGTACATAGTCAGGTCAGCCATGACACCTATACACTGTACATGGTCAGGTCAGCCATGACATCTATACACTGTATATAGTCAGGTCAGCCATGACATCTATACACTGTACATGGTCAGGTCAGCCATGACATCTATACACTGTACATAGTCAGGTCAGCCATGACACCTATACACTGTACATGGTCAGGTCAGCCATGACACCTATACACTGTACATGGTCAGGTCAGCCATGACACCTATACACTGTCCATAGTCAGGTCAGCCATGACACCTATACACTGTACATGGTCAGGTCAGCCATGACACCTATACACTGTACATAGTCAGGTCAGCCATGACACCTATACACTGTACATAGTCAGGTCAGCCATGACACCTATACACTGTACATAGTCAGGTCAGCCATGACACCTATACACTGTCCATAGTCAGGTCAGCCATGACACCTATACACTGTACATGGTCAGGTCAGCCATGACACCTATACACTGTCCATAGTCAGGTCAGCCATGACACCTATACACTGTACATGGTCAGGTCAGCCATGACACCTATACACTGTACATAGTCAGGTCAGCCATGACACCTATACACTGTACATAGTCAGGTCAGCCATGACACCTACACACTGTCCATAGTCAGGTCAGCCATGACACCTATACACTGTCCATAGTCAGGTCAGCCATGACACCTATACACTGTACATGGTCAGGTCAGCCATGACACCTATACACTGTACATAGTCAGGTCAGCCATGACACCTATACACTGTACATAGTCAGGTCAGCCATGACACCTATACACTGTACATGGTCAGGTCAGCCATGACACCTATACACTGTACAGTCAGGTCAGCCATGACACCTTTACACTGTCCATAGTCAGGTCAGCCATGACACTTATACACTGTACATGATCTGGTCAGCCATGACACCTATACATTGTACATGGTCAGGTCAGCCATGACACCTATACACTGTACATGGTCAGGTCAGCCATGACACCTATACACTGTACATAGTCAGGTCAGCCATGACACCTATACACTGTACATAGTCAGGTCAGCCATGACACCTATACACTGTACATGGTCAGGTCAGCCATGACACCTATACACTGTACAGTCAGGTCAGCCATGACACCTTTACACTGTCCATAGTCAGGTCAGCCATGACACTTATACACTGTACATGATCTGGTCAGCCATGACACCTATACATTGTACATGGTCAGGTCAGCCATGACACCTTTACACTGTCCAGCTGCTAGTCACGTAAGCCTTTACACCTATACACTGTCCAGCTGCTAGTCAGGACAGCCATGACACCTATACACTGTCCAGCTGCTAGTCAGGTCAGCCATGACACCGATACACTGTCCAGCTGCTAGTCAGGTCAGCCATGACACCTATACACTGTCCAGCTGCTAGTCAGGTCAGCCATGACACCTATACACTGTCCAGCTGCTAGTCAGGTCAGCCATGACACCTATACACTGTCCAGCTACCAGTCAGGTCAGCCATGACACCTATACACTGTCCAGCTGCTAGTCAGGACAGCCATGACACCGATACACTGTCCAGCTGCTAGTCAGGTCAGCCATGACACCTTTACACTGTCCAGCTGCTAGTCAGGACAGCCATGACACCTATACACTGTCCAGCTGCCAGTCAGGTCAGCCATGACACCTATACACTGTCCAGCTGCTAGTCAGGACAGCCATGACACCTATACACTGTCCAGCTGCTAGACAGGACAGCCATGACACCTATACACTGTCCAGCTGCTAGTCAGGTCAGCCATGACACCGATACACTGTCCAGCTGCCAGTCAGGTCAGCCATGACACCTATACACTGTCCAGCTGCTAGTCAGGTCAGCCATGACACCTATACACTGTCCAGCTGCCAGTCAGGTCAGCCATGACACCTATACACTGTCCAGCTGCTAGTCAGGTCAGCCATGACACCTATACACTGTCCAGCTGCTAGTCAGGTCAGCCATGACACCTATACACTGTCCAGCTGCTAGTCAGGACAGCCATGACACCTATACACTGTCCAGCTGCCAGTCAGGTCAGCCATGACACCGATACACTGTCCAGCTGCTAGTCAGGTCAGCCATGACACCAATACACTGTCCAGCTGCTAGTCAGGTCAGCCATGACACCTATACACTGTCCAGCTGCCAGTCAGGACATCCATGACACCTATACACTGTCCAGCTGCTAGTCAGGTCAGCCATGACACCTTTACACTGTCCAGCTGCTAGTCAGGACAGCCATGACACCTATACACTGTCCAGCTGCTAGTCAGGTCAGCCATGACACCTACACACTGTCCAGCTGCTAGTCAGGACAGCCATGACACCTATACACTGTCCAGCTGCTAGTCAGGTCAGCCATGACACCTATACACTGTCCAGCTGCTAGTCAGGTCAGCCATGACACCTTTACACTGTCCAGCTGCTAGTCAGGACAGCCATGACACCTATACACTGTCCAGCTGCTAGTCAGGTCAGTCATGACACCTTTACACTGTCCAGCTGCTAGTCAGGTCAGCCATGACACCTATACACTGTCCAGCTGCTAGTCAGGTCAGCCATGCCACCTATACACTGTCCAGCTGCTAGTCAGGTCAGCCATGACACCTATACACTGTCCAGCTGCTAGTCAGGTCAGCCATGACACCTATACACTGTCCAGCTGCCAGTCACGTCAGCCAGTAAATTCCTGGTCCTAGCTACATTTTATCTGTCAAAAACTATTACCATTAAACAGAAACATGTGCCTTGTGACATGTCAGTAAATTAACGTAGTAAGTCCTACACTCTGCCTCAATGTCCCCAGCTCTACTGCTTGTTTAGCTATGGTCCTTGTTGTTGCAGGCGTTGTTGTGTCAGCTGCAGGTGTTGACGGACAGGAAGCCGTTCATGTCAGCGGAGACGTTCCGTCTCTTCAGCATCCAAGTCATCCAGCACCACATCAGGTACCGACATTAATGCTGGGGCATGTGCACTGTGAGCGTGTGGGGATATCCAGGTTAGAATAGGTCCCAAGCTGGTCATAAGAGGCGACTTAATTGATTGAGTGATTAGGCTTGTGACTTGGTGATAGGGCGTCAGCATACTCCGATGATCTGCTCATGACATCAGTCACTGGATCACGTGGAATGTCTGGTCCATACTTGATTATTTTCACCACCATGATACAGCAGGAGAAGAGCATTAACCCCCCGGATGCCAAAGAGACTTAAGTGTTCTTGATCTCAATCTCATAAAAATCATATCTGAGTTCTCGCTATCGCTAAACATAGATCTGAGGACATCCCATTACGGGTCACGTCAGAATGACCTTTCATCCGACCAATCAAAGCATCGCTTACCAGATCATGAAAGTGACAGTCGGCATGTCCTCAAAAACGTTAACACTGGGTATTCAGAACGACAGTTACGGCCCGTACAACTGGTTTCGTTAAAATCATCGTCTATCTGGGATAAACATTTGAATGGAAGAGGCGTTGCACAGTACGTGTGAAGCACTGCCATACAATCTCAACCATGCAGTAGACATTCCGGAATGCTTGTTTGTTCTGTTTTCAAAACATTAATCAAGAACTGTGTCAACATATTTTTCAAGCGTAGTCTGAAATGGAAGTCGCCTGGTTGAAACGAGTGTCGTAATGCTCGAGAAAGCTGCTTTCTAATTGGCTGATGTCGACCTCACGTTAGTAATTTCAGTGGTCGGTCAAAGTTTGCTAAAGGTCGTTCTGACGTGACCCGTAATGGGATGTCCTCAGATCTTTGTTCAGCAGCAGCGAGAACTGATTTTAATGAGATTGTCTTGATCTTGAACCTTTACTTTCAAGTTGAAAAATGTCTACTAACATTGCATATGGAACATATGACGTTCAACCTCATCAGTAGAGCATATTCAGCCAGAACAGCCAAGGCAGTCTCAGTGCTTCGCAGATCTACAAAAAGTCATATGACAATAAATGGAAGAGTTTGGACCAGTTTTCGAGATCCAAGGGATTTATAGCAGCTAAAGATTTCTGGTGTCCCCATGTGGGGAATCGAACCTGGGCCTTCAGCATGTTGAGTGAACGCTTTAACCACAAGCCTACTGCACCGTTTCACTGTAAGTCTTCCTGCAAGTAAAGCTAGTCTGCATGTTAACAGTATTTTCTTTGTCAGATGCACAGTGAGTGGTGACAACACCCAGTCTGAGCTGCGTGAGGAGCTGAATGTGATCGTAGTTGAGGTGAGTCCAGAATCTTTTTAATCACATTTGGCATGGTTTAATTGCTCATGGTATCAGCCACTGGTTTGTCTGACAGTCATAATCATCATGATATGAGGGATAAAACAGTAGACACACTATTACTTGTCAGGTTTACAAAAGAGCCTTCGGTACTTTATGAGTCCATTTGAGTGTCAATTTCTTTTTCTTTTGTCATGGATGATTGCTCATGCTATCAACCACTGGTTTGTCAACATCATGATAAGCTGTACTATTACCATATTATACTATATAATGCGAGTGTTCCACCATATCCATGGCCTAGAATCGGTCACATGTCATTTGACAGAAACACATATTAACTCCCATGTGAGGTCTGATAATTTATGGTATTGACTTGAGTTATTAAAAATAGAATGGGAATTACCCAGAAGTGGAATTCCCCAAACCTAAACCAATCAGATGTCTCTGTTTCTTGGCACCTCCTAATGTTATTGTAGCTGACATAGTTTGAGATGTTGAATTTGTATGTTCAATTGAGTTTGTCTCTTCATTCATTATTATTTATATAAGATTAATAACTGTTTTTATGGGTTCGAAAATATCAATATCGACCTAGATTGAGGTATTGACCACGTATAAAGTCTGTAATTGTATATTGTTTCACCAGAGAAAGCAGATTGTGTTGTGATATGTATAATTGTGACAGTCTGAGCTGATTCATCCCCATCTCTTCCTGTCCAGGTGCTTGACTACTGGGAAAAGCATGACTTGGCGGTAGTCGACCTGGAAGCCATCTTTCTTCACCAACTCACACAGCTCGCCCCTACTCTCAGCCTCCTGCTCTTCAGGTACGTGTCACACATTGTCCTGCACCCACTCACACAGCTCGCCTCCACTCTCAGCCTCCTGCTCTTCAGGTACGTGACACACATTGTCCTGCACCAACTCACACAGCTCGCCTCCACTCTCAGCCTCCTGCTCTTCAGGTACGTGTCACACATTGTCCTGCACCAACTCACACAGCTCGCCTCCACTCTCAGCCTCCTGCTCTTCAGGTACGTGTCACACATTGTCCTGCACCAACTCACACAGCTCGCCTCCACTCTCAGTCTCCTGCTCTTTCGGTACGTGTCACACATTGTCCTGCACTAACTCACACAGCTCGCCCCCAATCTCAGCCTCCTGCTCTTCAGGTACGTGTCACACATTGTCCTGCACCCACTCACACAGCTCGCCCCCAATCTCAGCCTCCTGCTCTTCAGGTACGTGTCACACATTGTCCTGCACCAACTCACACAGCTCGCCTCCACTCTCAGCCTCCTGCTCTTCAGGTACGTGTCACACATTGTCCTGCACCAACTCACACAGCTCGCCTCCACTCTCAGCCTCCTGCTCTTCAGGTACGTGTCACACATTGTCCTGCACCAACTCACACAGCTCGCCTCCACTCTCAGTCTCCTGCTCTTCAGGTACGTGTCACACATTGTCCTGCACTAACTCACACAGCGCGCCCCCAATCTCAGCCTCCTGCTCTTCAGGTACGTGTCACACATTGTCCTGCACCCACTCACACAGCTCGCCCCACTCTCAGTCTCCTGCTCTTCAGGTACATGTCACACATTGTCCTGCACCCACTCACACAGCTCGCCCCACTCTCAGCCTCCTGCTCTTCAGGTACGTGTCACACATTGTCCTGCACCAACTCACTCAGCTCGCCCCCACTCTCAGCCTGCACCAACTCACTCAGCTCGCCCCCACTCTCAGCCTCCTGCTCTTTAGGTACGTGTCACACATTGTCCTGCACCCACTCACACAGCTTGCCCCCACTCTCAGCCTGCACCAACTCACTCAGCTCGCCCCCACTCTCAGCCTGCACCAACTCACTCAGCTCGCCCCCAATCTCAGCCTCCTGCTCTTTAGGTACGTGTCACACATTGTCCTGCACCCACTCACACAGCTTGCCCCCAATCTCAGCCTCCTGCTCTTTAGGTACGTGTCACACATTGTCCTGCACCAACTCACACAGCTCGCCCCCACTCTCAGTCTCCTGCTCTTTCGGTACGTGTCACACATTGTCCTGCACTAACTCACACAGCTCGCCCCCAATCTCAGCCTCCTGCTCTTTAGGTACATGTCACAGATTGTCCTGCACCAACTCACACAGCTCGCCCCACTCTCAGCCTCCTGCTCTTCAGGTACGTGTCACACATTGTCCTGCACCAACTCACACAGCTCGCCCCCACTCTCAGTCTCCTGCTCTTTCGGTACGTGTCACACATTGTCCTGCACCAACTCACAAATCTCGCCCCCACTCTCAGTCTCCTGCTCTTTCGGTACGTGTCACACATTGTCCTGCACTAACTCACACAGCTAGCCCCACTCTCAGCCTCCTGCTCTTCAGGTACGTGTCACACATTGTCCTGCACCAACTCACACAGCTTGCCCCCAATCTCAGCCTCCTGCTCTTCAGGTACCTGTGTTCACACTAAGTAAGACCCGGGCCTCCAATAAGGGTCAGGTCAGCTCCAGCTTATGATATCCCCTTTATTACATTTGAATACCATGTCTAACTAAGCTGTCCCATCTCATCACAGGTACAAAAGCAAATGGGCCAGCCTCTAATAACAGCCAGTCCTTTATAGAGCCAGTATCTCAAAGAGGCATTCTCTTATAAGAGTCGGTATTTATTAGGATCCAGTCCCAATGAGAGCTAGCCTCTAATAAGATCCAGCCTCTATTAATTGAAATTTACAAGGACCTGAACCATCATTGAAGAAGTACAGTAACGGCAAGAATGCAGTAAACCGGACACCTTCCACCATTTTTGTAAGGGATATGCACGAGCTCATTCCTTAGTAACAGTTTCTATGTTTTTCAGACGCCATTTTTGTTGCCTCGCTAAAACAACAGGGGTTTAGGTTTAGGGTTTAGGGGGCTTTCCCCCACTCAACGCCTTGAATTAAATGCTTTTGTAAGTAAATGAAATCTTTAATTACCAAAGTAGATTCAAAATAGTTTATTAGTAGCATCAAACAAACATGGCGGATTAGTGTCTGGTATAATGCATGTGTACCTACAGTAAGTAAGCTACTGTTCACTGCATCATGAAACCAGACTCAGTCACATCAGTCCCAATCTCATTAAAATCAGATCTTAGTTTTCGCTGCAGCTAAACAAAGATCTGAGGACATCCCATTACGGGTCATGTCAAAACGACCTTTCGCGAATTTTGACCGACCAATGAAATGACTGACAAGAAATCGACATTAGCCAATCAGAAGGCAGCTTTCTTGAGCTTTACGACACTAGTTTCAAACTGGCGACTACGCTTAGAAACATATTTTGACATATTCTCGATTAAAAAAATTAAAACTGATAAGAAGAATGTTCTGGAATGGCTTGTAGATGGCCTAGATTGTATGGATATACCCCATGTTAAATATTTCGTGGTTGCATGATTAAAAAACACATTCCGACTGTCACTTTCATGATCTGGTAAGCGACGCTCTGATTGGTTGTATGACAGGTCGTTCTGACGTGACCCTTAATGGGATGTCCTCAGATCTTTGTTTAGCTGCAGCGAGAACTAAGATCAGATTTTAATGAGATTGCATCAGTCCTTCTTATGTCTGATCCTAGGTGCCATGATAAGCATGAAGAAGCTCCTGCTGCACTGCTGGGCCCGTCAGGCGAGTTCCTGGAGAAGTTCTCCACAGACTTCTGCCTGAAACTGCTGCACTCGGTGTTGAGCAGCTCCTCCAGGAAGCCCAACACGCTGCCCAAGCAGTGGATGTCCCTGCTCCAGCACCATGCTGTCAGGGCAGCAGACTCGGGCGCAGACATGGTGGACGTCAAACCCGAGCCGACCCAGACCAGACCGAGGGTTGACATCCAGCCTTGTGACAAACTGATACCGTACGACCGCCTGTGGCAGGACATTGTGCAGAACCTGCAGAAACACGCAGACTCCCGGAGTTACATCCCCCTCACCAGGAATGAGATGGATCACATCGAGGTGCAGATGGAGGAGAAGACGAACAGACAGGCTGACAGGAAGGACACACAGACAGGTGAGTGTATGGGGTGCTTGGATTTCATGTTGAGCAAATATGAAAAAAATACAAAATCAAGATATTTCACTCCACGGGTGAGTGGTGGCACATTTATGCAGGGATTACTTTGTGGACATTTAAGTTATAACAAAAGCATTTACTTTCCATCTTTATCAATTGACATTAACAAGTCTGATTCAGTAAATAATTTTTTTATTTCATCACAATAGTTTATGTAAGGCTAAAATGAAAATTGTCTTGGTTCGCAGGCACCGCCTGCATCATCATAAAGTTTGCCGCACGTTTTGTTTCTATTTCCATTTTTTTTAAAATAATTAAAAATCCTCAAATACTTCAAGTCCAATGGCGGTCAAATATTGTATTCCAGTATTTTACTATCAAGGAATACATGTAGGGAGGCCCTTTCCCAGGTTGATTGTACACAATTGTTTATTGATTACACAACTGTTTATTGGTTACATCCTAGTCTGAACAACCCCCCAAAAAACCAAAAAAAACGCCCACCTGCTCTATATTTTCAAAAAACATTGCCTGAGAACCAATTCTTTATTTTTTTAAGCCTAAGTTATTATCAATGACGACAATTTGGTATTGATAATTGTTAATATTTCTTCCCATCCACGATAATTCTGATTTTTGATATTTTTTGCCAGGCCTATAAATTTGTGAAGTGTCAATGCCAGGATGAACTGGACTGTAAGACCTGAATGTTTGTGTAAACCCCTCGACCTTTGGTCTGTGGTGTGCTAGTCCAGTCAGTTTGTAAGATCCTGTAAATCCCAGTGTCCAGCCATAATGTAAAACATGTTTCTGAAACTTCCACCACTGTTGACTTCCAGACACCGTCCAGCCTGACGATCCCCAAAGTGCCATATTGTTCACGTGCGGCCATCACTTCACCAGGACAACGTTCACAGACGAGGTGCTTGTCAGCTTCGACCGCGAACTGACTGAGGGACCCAACAAACTCCCATACAGTGCGACAGTGCTGAAACAGTATTACAGCAGGCAGGGGTTACTTCCCCTTGCTTGTCCCAAATGTGTGCTGAATGCCTTGATGACAATTTCATGAGACAATCAAATCTGAAAATTTGGCATTTCATCATTATTATGTGTGATCATAGTCATTTCGAGTGTGAATTGAAGATTAATGAGTTTTACATGGGTAATTCATAATCCAGCTTTATCAAAGCTGCCAGATATTTTATTTATGCAAGGATACATGTGCTGGAATACCCACAACTTAACCTATATTCTACCATAAATTTTTGAAAATACTCGATTTTGATTGGTTTATCATAGGTATCAAATCACAATAAACCTCCTCTGATTAGATATAGTTGATTTGATGGGGCATAATATTTTTAGGATAGTTCTTCTTATACAGTCATTGTCAGTAGGTGTATTTAAATAATTATTTGTACAATTACAGGTTACAAAATGCAAAGTTGTGGTTACTACAATATTCAAAGTATGTGTGGCAATATATTTCGTGCAGAAAATATGATAGCAATCTTCAAAAAGAATGTATTTCACGTTTTATGGACAACAGAGAGCTTGCTATTGGGCGTTTTTGTATATATGACTGTGACATCATATCTTTTGCGTCACAATGAGCTATATGACGTGATAATTGTGACACACAGTGTAAAACAAAACCTTTGCAAGGCTTGCTGTTTCTTTAGGGGTTCCCACCTCATGTTAGCTTTCGAAGTTGTCGTGCCATATGCTTTCAGTGCCTGTCATAAGTTCGTGAGAAGTGTTACGGTGTAAACAAACTGCTTGAGCATACAGATCGCCCTATTTTGTTTAAAGGCAGTTGTCGGTTATTCCGTAACTTCTGATCGACAACACACTCAAAACACTTGGTTCAACCCATGCCGCTTCACTCGAAACCAAAGAGTTTGCGTTTTATTTAGTCATGGTAGAATGGAGATAAACATACTGTGTTTTGAATGTAGAGCTAGGTTACAAGTAGTTTTTTTTAGAATGGAGATATAATACGCTGTATAATTCTGGATGAATGGGGGGCGGTCAGGTAGCCTAGTGGTTAAAGCATTCGCTCATCACGCCGAAGACCCGGGTTCGATTCCCGACATGGTTACAATGTGTGAAGCCCATTTCTGGTGTCCCCCGCCGTGATATTGCTGGAATATTGCTAAAAGCGGCGTAAAAACCATACTCACTCACTCACTCACTGGATGAATGGAAGTATGCAATGGTGTTTTGCTGATGGGCAGGGTACAGAAGACCAAGGCAAATATTATACAAATAATTACTCTTGATGAGGTCCATATGCGAAGACAAGGACCCGTGGACCCAACCTCTGAGGTGGTCCTGTCAGAACCAGTGAAGGGGTCAGGTCAGAGGGTCCTTTTTTTGCATATTTACCTCATCAACAGTATTCACTTGTTTTGTTATACCAAAGTTCACCTTAAAGTTTATGCATTTTTTAAACCATCTTCTGTTTCATAACAGTAACTTTGCTACAACCCGTGAAATATTCGTACCAGACGCCATCTTGTTTTCTAGCAGATGAGTCAATATTCATCACGTGACAGGTCAATACTGATCACGTGACGGGTCAGTAATCGAGGTCAGTGTCAGTCACATCATGTCTGGGTCTACATTGTAATGTATTGTTTCGTCACGTGGCACAGATTAACCAAGGCTGAAAAAAATTATAGTCTTGGTTCTTAGGCACCGACCACATCATCATAAAGTTTGCCACACATTTCGTTTTTTATTTCCATTTAAACAAAAAGTAAAAATCTTTCAATATTCCGCGTCTCAAACACACGACCTGTCAGTGAAATGCTTCAATACTTAAGAACATGATTTCAATGAAATTATTGTAAATGAAATAGGGGCAGTCGAGTAGCCTAGTGGTTAAAGCGTTCGCTCGTCACGCCGAAGACCCGGGTTCAATTCCCGACATGGGTACAATGTGTGAAGCCCATTTCTGGTGTCCCCCCACCGTGATATTGCTGGAATATTGCTTACAGTGGTGTAAAACCATACTCACTCACTCACTTATTATAGCTTAAATGTTTAGAATTATCATTAAACCGCCCGCATGTTATCAGAAATGAGGGGCCACTGTAACTTGATAATGCCCTCATATTGCTTGACAACAGGCCATTATCACGCCCGTTGTTAGGTGATGTCATAGTTATAGGTGACTCACGTTCATAGGTGACGTCATCTGGTTTGTTCTATGACGTTTCCATATTTGTAAATGTGGGTCAGTGACATTCATTGTGTGTTGATTGTCGATTTTTATTTCACAAATAATATCCATTTTAGCTATAAAAACAGTAACACTATTTTTCAGGGCATTATCATTTCGGAAGCCCTCGGTCTTTTAAACTGTCTTCCTTGGTCAGGCAATTAATGGAAGACCTCGGGCTTCTGCAAAGGATAATGCCCTGAAAAATAGTGCTACCCTATAATAACAGCTAACAGAACAGTTTAAAGAGTCAGTTAGGTTCAGGACCCACTTGCACAAAGCGATCTTAGCGCTTAGATGATCGTAACTCCCATACTTTAACATTGGCTTACAATAGTCGTAGCGGTAAGGTCGCTTTGTGGAACGGGGCCCAGGTCATTATTGATTCCTGACTGTGCTCATTGATGTCCTACTGGACAGAGGTGAGTGAGTGAGTGAGTGAGTTGGGTTTAACTATGCTTTTAACAGTATTCCAGTTATATCGCGGCATGTCAGCTTAATGTTGGAGGAAAGCCCGAAGTGATGCAGGTCTTAGACGTTTACCACTTCGGTGAAAGCCACAACACGGGTATGGTGCTGACAAACCTAGAAACATAATCGGGGCGAACCGCGATTCAAACCAACAATCATAGGTTTCTGGCGTGGCCAGGGGACGCAACTCTGCACAGCAAATCGCGGCGCCTTAGACGACTAGGCCACCCGTGCCCCCTGACAGAGGTGAGTCAAGTGGTACATTGTCCTGATAGTCGAGAGTGTGGAATAGCTAGTACAGTACAGTATGATTGGTAGATTTGTTCAGATGTAGTTGATCATGCCTGTATGTCTATTGAATCATGTGTTCATGTGTATGGAGAAACTGTTGTATTCATTCCTACCTAAATGAATGTCAAATTTTGTTACATTTGTTGAATAAACACATTGAAATGATTGAATCTATTTCTGTGGTTTCTTCGTCTGAAATATAACAAGAATTTGTAGTCAGCACTTTAGGAGCTATGCTGCGATGACTGTTAACGCTATCAAGCCATGACCA